CATCTGCAAAGCGAAGAGACTGCACATTTTCAACAACAAAGTAACATTCTTATATTAATGAATGAAGCTGGAATATAAATGTAAATTAAGCCAATTACTCCATAAACCAACAATGACTAAAGGGCAATAATACAATGAAACTCAGATAGCATGAAGATTTATGGATTTCAAATGGAAGAAGTTTTGAGATTCTCTAAATGAAATCTTATTTCTCCAACCAATGAGCAAAATGCACCACTTTCCTGACCAAACATCTATATTTGACATCAAGATGAAATTACTGCATAGAAAACACTTTCCTGTGCTATGATTTTAAAATTTTAAAACAATCATTATTTGTTTACACCAATGGATGAAGACTTCAGCAACTGGAAATTTATTACACAAAGTTCAGACTTAAAGAACATAAACACAAATTATTATTTTTTTCCTGGTGGAAGAGCTTGGAAACACAAGCCTTATGATCACTGTCCTAAAAATCTTTGTTTTCAGAAAAAGCTTGAAAATGCAAGATTTAAAAATTCAAAGCCACAGAGTCACCAAATCATCTAATGATCACATTAAAGTGGTTTGAGCACTGAAATCTAAACTCATTGGGATCACTCCAATTTCATAGATACACAAAAATCACCTTAAAAAAACCAAAAGGTGTTTTTTGAAAACAGTCTTCAACTCTGAAGAATTTCTATCTACAGAAATACTGTTATGCAGCATCCCAAAATGGAATTTAAATGATTGTTTTGATTAATTTATTCAATTTTCTCTGTCACCTCTGCCCATTTTTTTAAAAAAAACCATGCACTCCTTTTACAACTGATGGGTGCAGTTTATATTAAGGAATTATGGATTCAACCTTCAGAAAAAGTATCTGCCTGTCAGTGATTGGTGAGTGAGATCCCTATTTGTTTAAGACAAATGGATGAAGACATTTAAAGTCAGAAGCAGAAGTCTAAATGTGCTTCTTCTTTTCTTTCCTGGCATGACTTTTAAAGTGACTTTTATTCCCAATCTACTATACAATGATTTCTCCATTTGCCAATAAGCAACTAAAAACCAACCAAGTTCTGAAGGAAATTAAGATAAATGTTGCCACTTCAAGGTTCTGGGCTCTGTGTGGGTTGTTGTTTCTTATATCTTAACATTGCTAAACGGATCAGCAGTTCTATAGTACAGTGTTCCAAAATATTCTTGAACTTAATTTCTGTTCAGACTATTCAGAGGCAAGGAACTTTGCAGCTCATTGATGGCACCTACAAGAACCACCTTACACAGCTGAAAACCAGTGGCCCACATTTGAAGTCACAAAGACCACCAGTCAGACTAATATTGATTCAATCAATAGCAAGGCAAGGAGACATAGCCTATTGTAAAAGTGCTGGTTGGCTTTGCAAATTAAAGGCACTTTCAATTCACAATAAATATCTTTGCTGGCCTGCAAGGAAGTACTGAGAAGATAAAACACCATAGTTTGTCCACAGCAAAGTTCAGGCCTTGGACATCTTGCACTTTACACAATTTGCAGAAATCAATGTGAAATTATTTCAAGGATTAGAAGTATACCATTCCTCTTGAGTAAAAGTCTCTCTTATCATTTGGCAAAGGAGCTTACCTTCAAAACAAAATGGGGATGCTATTGTTGGCTACTTGTCCTGTGTACAATTTGCTAATAGCTGATGAATACGAACTATAAAACCTGGAACACTGATTCAAAAAGGTAGTCCTCATTTATTATCTGCTGAGATGAAGAACACATCAATAATTCGACTCAGGCAGTATTTGAAAGGAATTGCTAAATCTTTATCATCTGCCAGGTGACATTCACAGGTATCTTACCTGAATCAGTAAATGAAGATGAAGTCCAGTCACTGTGTTTAAAAACAATACACCATTGTATGCACTGACCTTAAAACAAAAATAGCTGCAACCATTGGCTTACCTGAAGTTCAGATCTTTGTAAGAATATTCAATACAGAGACTTTACAAAGTGGTTCAAGTTGACAGAGATCAGATTATGCCTCACCATAAGCTAAGGAAGTAACTCCAACAGTGAAATGTGAGATAAAAGAAGCTTACAACAAGCATATTCCTACAGCCTCTATTGCCTTGAACCTAAACAAATAATAACTTTTTAAACCCAACACCTTTATCCAAATAGGCGGGGCGATAAAGCGGATTTTCAATGCGGTACTAAAAGCAGGAATTTTTAATACAGCTTAGAAGCAATTCACCTTTGCCTTAACAGCATTTCAAAGGAAAGCCCTTCTGGTGGCTTTTATTTCCAATAATGGAACCAGCTTTTGAAACATGTGACTTTACCTTGAAACATTCAAACTAAATTGTATGGATTTACATCCTGTTAACCTGATGCAGTTTATTTTAAGTGAAACTTGACGTTCAGAGAAAAAAAATTAAAAACCCTTAAGGTCCAGTGTGGTCTGAAATTTATGTGGCATTTTCTTTCCCAGCGTCCAGATTAGTTTTCATTTAATTAGTCATTATTATCATGTAAGGCCACATTGACTTGTGTGGGTGGCATACTATTAATGTAATTTAAAAAATAAATAAACCATGAGGGCATTTGCAAGCACCAGCATGATATATACTCAGTTGAGCTTGTCTGCAAGCAAACCAGAGTTCAATTTGCTCAGTGGACACCTCTATACCTAAATCTGCTCTGGGGGGTTGGGAATATCTCCCCAATGACTCTGTGCTTCTGGTCCTACAAAGAAGCCACATTGCATCAACTTCCACGCTGCTAAAGTTGGGAAAGGCCCAAAAGTTTGCTTGCATCAGATTTCACATTTTATGTGCTGGGACATACAAACATGCATGCAAGAAAAAAAAGCTCTTCTAGGTGTTGGACAGAGAATCACAGGAAAACCTTTTTCCTTTATGAATTTCAAAGCAGTAAATATGTTTATAATGAATCAAACCGCTGTTCCAACTCAAACAGGCATAGTATTTAATGGTTATTTTTAAAAGAAATTAAATTCCAAAATTGTTTATGAGATGAACTGAAAGCCTATGGTTAGGTCTTTGTCTGACACAAATATTTTTTGTTTCTTTAACATTTATTTTCCATGGCTATCAAACATAACATATACAGGTAGATGCATTTAAATATTTAAATAAACACCTTTTGTTTTTCCTTTTTGTTACTCATCCTGTACAGTACACAGGTGCTCTCTGTGATAAAGTTCTTCCACTTTTATTTTGAAAGGAAGTGAAACATTTCAGCATGAACAATAATCTTCCCATCTCAGCATGAGCAACCATCTTCCCATCTCAGGTAGTAGGGAATAGCTATCACCTGGCACAAAACACGTTTGTGGAAAATGGCCGAGGAATTCTTAGGAATGGCAGCACAGTGAATATTTGAGTCTCTTGCTGCATGTGCTACACGTCCCTTTCTGCACACGTCTCGGCTGTTATCTAGTCCAGGAGGACAAAAGGCTGAGAAGTGCAAGCAGGATTGCCACCTCTTTCCCCTTCTGCCAACATTCGCCATGGTGGCTGTGTATCCACTGCTGGAGGCAAGATGCTTCTGAATACCTGTTGCTGAAAACCACAAGAAGGGAGAGAGCTGTTGCACCCCCCGCACACACACACTACCTGGGGATGAGGGGGCTGGGGGCATGGTGGCCAGGCCAGGCTGGGCTCTGGGGCCCAGAGACCCTCAGTGGCAGGCAGGGTGTGGATTCCTGTTTGGGGGAGACTGGTTCGCGTCCCCTCAAAATCATGAGCCTTCTGGTCCTCCCTACACTGCGTGCCTGGTGGTTGGGAACTACATCCTCTGCCCCCATGCATGTGGTTGGCTAAATTTAAATGTTACGCCAACTAAAGCGGTGTTCCAAGGAATGCTGGAACGAACCAGCGAGGCATAATCTCCAATGCCAGGGTTCTTTGCTGAATTAAGGTGCTCTTAACAATCACCCGAGGCCGGTCTGAGGTGGGAAACCTGAGCCGTCCCTGGATAAATCCGAGCTTCAGATAACACCTGTTTCTTATGTATCCGGAAATCGGGATCTAATAGTAACTTTATGCGGAAATCCTGTGGCCTTGGGAGACGCATCCATGGAAAATCGGGAGGCGATGGCTCGGTGGGTGCTATCGTGCCATCAAACACCTGCCTTATTTACACAAATGACTCACGTGGCTTACAGGTGGAGATAACAGAAATGCTAATACATAAACTTTATAGCAAAATAATATACATATAATAACTCGTCCTTCTATGGTTTATATAAATGATGCCTATTTTCATATGTGTGCGCACATGTATGTGTATGTGGGTATATATAGTTAAAACTAGGACTGATGCTACCATATCCCAGGGGCCTATATGTATTTAAGCCAGAGAAGTTAGGGGTGACCTGTTGCTTCAATGGGCACTGTGTAAAATTGTTTATGCTATGGCTGTTGGGTTGAGGATTTGATCAAGGGGGGATTCATGTTATGGGGACCTTTCTACAGTGCTGGGGAGTGGCAGGTGCTCCCGCCATTTTTTATAATCCTGCAATACCAAGGGCACGACCATTTATTTCTGCTCTCCCTGAACATGCTATTACACAATACACACACAGAGGGGTGCCATCGGGGCCAGGATTCGGGGGCAGAAGTCCAGGATCACATGTAGCAGAATGAGCAGGGATGGGTGACTTCTTTAATTCAGAGAATATACATTACTATCAAAAGGGGGGGGGGACCCGTAATCCTGGCAAGTCCAGAGTCTTTTAAAATTACCTTACTGCGCCTCTCTCTTTCTCTCTCTGTATCAACATACACTTGTGTTTATGTTCATATATATATATATATATATATATATATATATATATATCCATATACACATATAAATATATAGGCGCACATATTTCCCCCCACTCTTTGTGAGAGTGCTTTGCAAAATCTGCCAGCCAGCACTGCAGTCCTTCATTGGCTGTGAGCTTAGAAAGGTTACCAAAAGCCACCAGTTACAAAGTCCTTGTGGATAAAAGCTAATGTCACCGCTGTGGACAGAGAATGGGTTTGATGCATCGTCCTTTGTGGTGGACTAAGTTTGCAGGGCAGTGGCAGCCTGCGATGCACGGTTTATTGCAGGGACCAATCTCGTTCCAGTTGTCGCATGTTTTCACGCATCCAGGACCGCAGGTATCATAGACGGCACCATGTTTACATTGGGTGGCTGGAAGATAATTCAAAGAAAGAGGAATGTCATCGCTTAAAATTATACCCATGGGTTTTACCATATCCCATATTTTGTAATATTATGGCACAACGGCGCAGTGTTTTTTATTGCAATTTCTCAGTGGAACATTTACTGTAAATGTCAAGGAAACAAGGCGAAATGCTTTAGAGGCCTCAGCCCGGAAATTGTCTAAGAGATATGTGTCTAAGAGATATGAGAGTCAGCTGCTCTTTCCTGCTTCTCAGAAATTCGATGAATAGTTGTTTTAACACTGCATATAGAAGGGGGTGGCAAGGAGCCCCTCTGTGGGCTGGATTGCAGGCGGGCATGAACGCCTGCGATTTCCAGCATCTGCGCAGACGCGATTTCCGGTGCCGCGAAAGTGAGTCCCTGCACCGCGCTGGTTTAGCGCAGCACACGGGGACTCGCTGAGCGGGCAGCTCGGTTCAGGGGTGGCTCGGGGGCCAGTAAAATGACCCCTGTGGGCCTGCAACAGGCAAAATCAGTCTCCAAGTCTTCTTAAATTGCACACCAAAAATCAACCTGCATATACAGTGGTGCCCCGCAAGACGAATGCCTCGCAAGACGGAAAAACCGCTAGACGAAAGGGTTTTCCGTTTTGAAGTTGCTTCGCAGGACGAATTCCCCTATGGGCTTGCTTCGCAAGACGAAAATACCTTGCGAGTCTTGAGATTTTTTTCGCTTTTCCCCTTTATCTAATCTGCTAAGCCTTTAATAGCCTTTAATAGCCTTTTAGCAGCTAATCCCCTAAGCCTTTAAGCCTTTAATAGCCGCTAAACCGCTAATAGCGCTAATAGCGCTAATCCGTCAATGGGCTTGCTTCGCAAGACGAAAAAACCGCTAGACGAAGACTCTCGCGGAACGGATTAATTTCGTCTTGCGAGGCACCACTGTATTTTAGCATCATTTTTGTTCATTCCAAAAGGGATATCTATATCTATATCTATATCTATATCTATATCTATATCTATATCTATCTATATGTACCTATATCTCCCTAATTTACCTCAGAACTGGAATCAATCAACACCTTTTATCCCTTTCTTAATCATAATACAAGTTAATGCAAAAACAGAAAATCAGAAAACAAAACGGATGACACTTAAACTGGTATGTTTTTAATTTTGCCATTACGAGTTCCAATTACGGTTAATTTGAAACATCAAAATTTTGCCTTTCCTTGCCTGATCCCAATTTATATTTTAAAAAACACGATTGTGTGCTACACTACCTTTTCTCCCTCTCTTTTCATATAAAGAAATTAGGCCCAAGGATTACTTTATAAAGCAATCTATGAGGGTTTGCAATGTCTCCATTCAATGCTCTTCCTCTCAAAGTTGTGTTTTATGCTACTGTTTCATGCTATCTGAACAAGGTTTTATGTTTTAAGCAATTTGCTTCTAATTTTCTCTTATTTCCTAGGATTCTGTGGCGAAGGGAACATACTGTGCCCGTGCTGAGAGCTGAGTACAGGAGGGGAGGACCAAACGTGGGCAAACTACTCTGAAAGGAGCATGGCAGGTGGTCAAAATCCCCATCACTCTCCTTCCCCACTGGAGGATTCTGGGTGTTTTGCCATGCTTGCCAGGAATGGCCCAAAACACATAAGGGGATGAGTACAGTGGGATAAATCTGTTCCATGCTCCACCAAAACTTTTTGGAGTGCTTTTTGGAGTACTTAATTGCAAGCACTTGGATTTAAATGATTAGTGGATTGCATGACTAGTCAGTTTAATGAATAAAATAGATGCAGATCAGCTGTGTTTTTCCACCACAGATTGCCATTCATTTCTCGCTTCCTATGAAGAAAGATCGATTGCATCTGTGCTTCCACATGAGCGAGCAAGCAGTCCAGGAAATGTCAGTAATCAGCTAGAGTCTTTCACGATTACAGTCCTGTGATCCTTGCGCTACTCGCCCCTCTGTTCTTCCAGCAGACTCAGACAAGTGAAATAGGTACCCGATGCTAAGTTTTACAATGGGCTTGTTAGTACAAAGTTGCTGGAATCTCACTTGTCAGACACGCTTCCTGTATTCTCTCCAAAGAGCACAATGCATGCCGGCTGGCCACTGGATTTCAGCACCTGGGAACCATTTAGCCATCTCTGCTCTAACAGAGCTGCAATACTGCAAGCTGCCAGATTGTGCATTTGGGGCAGAACTGTGTTGCAAGCCTGTTGCCTAAGGGCTATTTCAGCTGGGGTTGGGGGAACGACCAGCTTTGGGGTGGGGATGCTTAAACCTTTCCCTGCCTACCACTTCTCCACTCCAAATCAGCCCCTCGTGTTGCAAAACTGCTGGCCCATGGGTTGGGTGAAGAGAGGAGGAGAATTAAGTAGAGAAGCCAGGAGCGAAAACCAGGTTTTGTTACATGGGCACAGTATGAAATGTATTTGCAGTTGCAATGAAGTAATCAGTGCGTCACACTTACCAGCACAATTCTGCTCAGGTTTCCAGTGAACTTTCAGACCTTCCCTTTGACAGGCTCTAGCATAGGCGAGAAAGGACTCACAGTAGCAGTTTTTATGAACAGGGCACTCACACATGTCTGTCACGCAGGACCTGTAGAGAACACCCCAAATGACAGGGTAGGGGGAAAGCGAATGAAAGACTGGGTTTAGTTTAGTTTTTTGCAACAACAACAAAATTGTCACATTGGCTTGGATCCTAGCAACTGTTATGAAGTACAGTGCCCCTAAAATCCAGCTTTTGCAATGGTTGCCCATACCTGAGAAGGAAAATTCTGGTTTGGCCTAGAGAGGCTTTAGCCAGGGCAAGTTCAAGTAAGCTGACCTGCAACACCTCCTGTTAAATCGGTTGCTTGCTGTCTCCTTCACTGTAAATTTTTACCATGCTCCCTTATCATTTGTAAATCTAAATGAAACAGCATCATATTTCTTCTGGAAGCGTTAAGCCAAGATATGGTGACCTAAAAGGTCACTCCCTCCTTCTGCCCCACAATAACTAATCAGTGAGTTTCAACAGGCTGAGGCTCCTGCCAGAAAAGCCCCAAAGTTATTATGTTAATCTCGCCGCCTCCTTCACCAGGACAACAAAAAGGAAGATGTGTTTTTAGAACCCATTTCCTATGGATTTAAGGCCAACTCTTCCTAGCAGGCACTGTTTAAAATCTTTTAATACCTGATGTTAGAGGCAGGTGCCAGGAGCAGGTCAGTAATAACTCACACAGCATCAGTGAAGTTAAATCTTTATTCAAAGAAACAAACAGCTCAGGAGGCTAGGCCTAGTGAGTACAGCAACTCTTCCTGGTAGATCTTGTCCCTATGAGGCAGTTGTGGGGACTGAAGGTCCAGGCATTCCCACAGTTGTGTAAGCCTCCTACTCCCCCAGGTCCATCCCAAGAAGAAGAAGAGTTTGGATTTGATATCCCACTTTATCACTACCCGAAGGAGTCTCAAAGTGGCTCACAATCTCCTTTCCCTTCCTCCCCCACAACAAACACTCTGTGAGGTGAGTGGGGCTGAGAGACTTCAGAGAAGTGTGACTAGCCCAAGGTCACCCAGCAGTTGCATGTGGAGGAGCAGAGACGCGAACCCGGTTCACCAGATTACGAGTCTACCGCTCTTAACCACACCACCACACTGGCTCCCAAGGAATCTGAGACTCCATCAACACATCTGTCTTTGCTCCGCTCTCTTCATACCTCTTCTAGTGCTGGGAAACCAGTGGGAGGGGAGCTGATTGTAACAGTAGGGGGGTACCGCATTGTCTCTTCAGCAGCCTATCTCAACTCTGCCTCTTGTCTCCCCTCCTCTCCAGTCTCTGCTTCTGCACTGCTCTCTGTCCCAGCCTCTTCCTGCTCACTCAACCCTGTTGCCTCTTCAGCTTCAGACACCTCCTCCTCCCAGTCTGCTCTCTCTTCTCCCTCTGACAACTCCTCGTTGTCCCACCATCAATCCCTGGCTCTGAGGCTTCTTCCTTTGGGGGCTCCCCAACTGGTGCCTCCCACCACCCCTCAGCATCCAGCAGGTCCATGACACCTGAACACTTTCAGTAATATTTGTAGCCTTTATTTTAATGCTTATGCCCAACTTGAGGACAAAAAGTGATGCTTTTCACTTTAGCGAATGGGAATCTTTTGAACAGAAAGGACACCTCATCTCTCTCCATCCGACTTCTGCCCCATCTTTATCCCTTTCTGTTGCTGAAGAGGGACCCACAATTCCAGCATATCAAGTAGCCCCATCACAAAAATAAGAAAAGGTTGTAAAAAAGAAACTCTTCCTCTTTGGCAAAGCTATCAGCTGGCAAACCTGCATCGGGCAATCTTCTGCTTTCAAGCCGGATCAGGTCCCCATTTCTTGGGGAGAACTGCTCTTTCTTTCCCCTTGCTTCATCCCATACAACATTTTCTGCTGCTTAAGCAGACTGAATTCTAGAGCTGCTCTGGAAGGATTTGATTCTCCACCCCCAATTATGAACCCCCAACTATGAATGTTGTGCCATAAAGTCAGTGTAGAAAATTATACATGGCCTAAATAATGTTAAGGGATGTGGGTGGCGCTGTGGGTTAAACCACAGAGCCTAGGGCTTGCCGATAATTAGGTAGATGGTTCGAATCCCCGTGACGGGGTGAGCTCCCGTTGCTCAGTCCCTGCTCCTGCCAACCTAGCAGTTCGAAAGCACCTCAAAGTGCAAGTAGATAAATAGGTACCGCTCTGGTGGGAAGGTAAACGGCGTTTCCGTGCGCTGCTCTGGTTCGCCAGAAGCGGCTTAGTCATGCTGGCCACATATCCCGGAAGCTGTACGCTGGCTCCCTCGGCCAATAAAGCGAGATGAGCGCCGCAACCCCACAGTCGGCCACGACTGGACCTAATGGTCAGGGGTCCCTTTACCTTTTTAAATAATGTTGGCAAATTGGGAAACTTTGCTAATACTGGGGTGGGAGAGAGAGAGAGAGAGAGAGAGAGAGAACCCAGAAGCACTGGGAGTGGAAGGGCCACATTTAGAAACCAACACATCTTTTAAGAAACATTTCCATAGCAATAAGGGACAGAAGGTTTGAATTTATATGAAGAAAACACACAGACATTGGCTCCCTCTAGTGTTCAATATGCAACATGTTAGACAAGCCAATTTTTCCCAAAAATCTTAGGATTGCATCAAAAACGTGACAAATTTTCTAAAATGACAACATTTCAGTCTGGTGGAAGGGGGGGGGGCACATGCCAGCTGTGTGCCAATTTGTGACTATCATTCCACTATTTTGGTGCATGTATAAAGGTTGAGAAGCCATAGCTTTCCAAAGCATGTCTATATAAAGCAAAATAGATACGTTGTGAATTCAACACATATGACAATCCAAATTAAGTTTGCATACTTTTTTGTGTGCATAGGAATGATGTCTGTGCAGTAAATCAATCACATCTGAAGCTGCTGGTGGTGCCAGGGATGTATTCACAGAGACAAAGACAGGCCATGTTAAGTGTCCCTATAAGGTTGTTTAAAGTGAGAATCTCTTTTCTCCGAAACAGGAAATGACTGCAACAAAATCCAGGTCTGTGAAACATCTCACTGTGTTTATTTCCTTGTAGGTAGGCCACAAACCCAAGCAAGTTCAGGTTTAGGGTAGATCTGCGTCCCAATTTTGAAGGGCCATGTAGTACATGCGCCGTTTGGGAGAGCATGAGACTCTTAAATCTCAGGGTTGTGTCTTTGAGCCCCACACTGGGCAAAAGACCCGTGTGGTACCTTTCAATTCTTCAGTATTATGAGTCTATGATTCCACATACTGTAAATATAGAAATGCAGACCTCATTTGAAAGGTAGAAGAAACATAGAAATTATCTTTCAGGGGAAATGGTTGCATTTAATTCTTTTTTGCATACAGTACTTTAAATATTTCCCCCCTTTTTAGTAAGTTATCTTAACCTTTGATTCTGTTTCGCACTGGAGCAAATAAATACCAAATTGGTAAGGTATGCTGATTTATCCAAGACTGAAATCAGGCATTTGGAGGACAGCCTAGGATCAGCTTTAGACTCGCCATTGAGATCTATACCACTAGAGGCAGGGCCTTTTCAGTGGTGGGCCCAACTATGTGAAACTCCCTCCTTAAAGGAGTTGACAGGGCCCCTACTTTTCTGGCATTTGAACAAACACCAAAGACTTCATTTCAAGCTACTTTTACTAAAGGGCTGGGATTGTAGTTTTACTGATATATAATGAAATATTCACTACTGTTTCAGTTTTCATGAGGGCTGCCTAGGAAGGCGGCACACCAATCTTTAAAACAATCAAATAATTCTCAAAGCTCTGTTTGCTTCCAACAGTCCAAGCATTTTCAGTGGCAAAGCAATGGGACAAGAGAGGCTGCTTCCCCCTTCCCTGGCCTTGTGGCTTTCCTAAGCAACACCCCTCTCTGCAGCTGCTTTCCCCTTTTTGTCAAGTTTCAGAGCCAGGCTAGAACTCATTGGATGTTGCGCTGATCACTCAGGCTCCCGTGTGGATGCAAGGTTGTCTCATCTGGGAAGAAGTGGTGATAACTGGATGGATCTAATCCTAGCCTGTTGCACGGAGAAAGCCATGAAAAGCAAACATATCTGTCATCTGTGAGACACTCCCCTGCGTCAGGCAGCCCTGCGTTGCTCCCACATCTTCAAAGCAAACCATATGACTACACTTCTTTAGCAACAGGCCTTTTCCACATTAAACTATGGAAAGTGTCCAAGTCCTGTAAGAGGTTAAAGAAAAGGAGCCCTTTGCTTCATTTAATTTTTGCTGCTCCTTTTTTTAATTTTAAGTGAATGCTGCTCTTGCTGTTGCTGCTGCCCTTACACAGTGCTCCGTGCAGTATTGAAAATGCAGATGTTTGGTGTCTTTCATCAAACATCTGCAGTTCCTTTTACTTCACAGTAAACAAGCGCTCCAAATCAATCACCCTAAGTGGGAATGCCTTTTGCGTTTAATATTAAGTGCTGCTCAGTTCACAAACTCAGCATGATGTAGTGCACACTAAAATGTGCAAGTTCTTCCAAGCCATGACGCTACGCAGACGAAAAGCTAACAGTGACCCGGGTAAAAAGACACAGGGACATTCTAGAATGAAGCAGATGTCCCAAAGGCCTAAAATTTAAGTAGAAAGGAGTCTCTGCCCCAAGCCTTGCCATGAAACACTCTTAACTATACCCCGTTTAAGACAGTATTAGCTGGCTGCAATTGCCTGGGGGGGTGTTCTGGTGGGGGGATTGGGGCAAAGAGTTGCCACATGCAAGAGAAGAATCATTCCCCAAGCCTAGTGTCCTGTAAAGCGAGTGTCTAGAGGGAAAGTCCACTCACTGGAGAGGTGCAATCCAAGTTTTAGCGCTTGCCTCACCTAATTTAACAGTGAAGATATCCAAAATCTATTCGGCAGCCAAATTGGACACTGTCATAATCACATTTCAAGGCGCTCAAGTTTAATATTGTGACTCAAGACTGTGGAGTTTTGTTTTGCTTCGTACAAGAGGGAGCTCATTTTTCCTCTCTGGAGAAGCAGCTGAAGCCTGAAATGCTCAACAACTTGGTGATTCAGAGTCTTAGAGAGGGAATTTATCTCTCTGCTTAAATAGAACAGGGCTTCCCTTTCTGTCCCACAGGCAGAAATGGAATGGAGTATCCTGAAAATTAAGAGGCTGGCTATCTGGGACCCTGAATAAGAGCACTCCATGAAACAAGAGTGCTTTTTCTTAGTTGCCCAGCTATGGACATCACCTTCACTGTACTTTGAACTTTTTCAGACCATCATGTGTTGCTGTAGACACAGCAGTAGCAGCAGTGGTAAATGTTAAAGAATTCTGCAAGTTTTCCCCCAAAAACAAAAAGTTTGGAGAATCAGGCTCCAAGCTTTCCACCCGAGATGTAAGCAAATACGCTATTTTGCAAGCTCCTATTTTGTAACTCAGCACATACCTTTTAACATTTTACGCGGAACCATGTTGTGCCATTAAAACCTTTCAATGTATCCTGTTAAAAATATAAAGGCTTTTAAAAAAGCACCAGTGTGCTGTTATGTATATTTCTGAATCTTTATGTGAAAATGGACTTCAAGCCAAATTTGCATTTTATAGCTTCAGCCAGCATCACACCACAATAATAAGATAAAATGAATAATGAAATATCCTGGAATGTTTTCTGAAACCACACAAAATAAAATTTTCAGGACTATGCGATCATAGTACCCACCTCAAAGAGCTTTATTCATAATCCTCCTTAAATCTGGAGCCATAGTTTTGAAGGCAATAAAAATCCCACTCATTTCCTCATCATATTCCTTATAATATTATCCTGATGAAGAACACCGTGGGCTCCCCCTTTGCTTTGCGCTAGGAAGCCACATGGTATGTGAATCCTTTATATTTTCAGTCCAGCTTTTGGACAAGAAGGGCGGTTTAGGGGCTAGCTCCTCTATCCCCATGGATAACTAAAGAGCTATATTCAAGAGCCCACAATACAATGGGAAGTTCTCAATAGAAATTAATGAGATTTGCACAATAAACTATCCTGCTATGCAGCTCACATTCATCGCTTCAATTAGGGAGCCAGCTTGGCCTGAAAATGGATTGGACGTTGCAAAGACCTTAAACTCCCTGAAAGAGGGGTGTTGGATGTTAGAGCAGACCATTCAATAGCCTCAGTGTCAGCCCCTCCAAAAAACCCTGCTCCTCCTCCAGCTCATCCCTGAGCCAAAAAATAAGAATTACTAATCTAACTACCTACGAGTATGAATGTGTGTATCTTTCAGTGAAAAAGCCCTTCATGCTATGAATTCTGAAGAGCTACATTGGGAACTGCTGCCCCTGCCACCTGAGGAAGTCACCTCACCTTGCGTCTTTGGTGGGCTGGCCCTGTTTGCCCCACACTGCTCTTTAGCAGAAAGAACAGCCATGGTTGTGGAAACAGGGTTCCTCTCCTCCCAGCTGCCACCTACTGCCAACCGCCAGAGTTAATTCTCCAGTATGCCTTGGGAATGACACTACAGTGTGATACAGCATTGTTGAAGGACATTCAAGAGGAGGAGATGACAGTCTTCACCAGTAGCTCCCAATCCCTCTCCTCTAACAGAATGCCATTTGGAACAATGCTATCATGTTAGATAGCATTGTTCCATGGGCATAATCAATGTCAGCTTCAGGAATTGGAGAGCCTTTGGGCAAAACCATCTCCATGGGGCCCCTTTTTCACTGTGGCAGACGTTCTTGTCACTGGACCCATCTTTGGTGCGTGGGCCCTTGACAGAAGCTCTATCATGCCAACCCTTTACACCAGCCCTAGACATTATGTTTAATTCAACATGATGATCTGTGCTATTGAGAATTTGAGAGTGGCAATGGAGGTTGGTTTTCCTTCCCCCCCTTCTCTCAAAATTCACCACCCAAAATGCAAAATAACCCCCTCACTTTTGTTGCCCACAAATGGAGCAGAGAAATAGGGTGAAATTGGCTCAGTCCTAGATGACGTATTAGCCAATCATTCAGAAAGCCTCAATCTAAGAACGGATGGTCTGTCAGCATCCATAACATCCCGCTAAGGCACTGTGAGATGTGGGATGTATAGCTCGGTTGGCAGTCCAGGCTTTGATGAATCAAAGCAGTGCCTAATCTGTGGGCTGGTCTTGTATTAACTCCTAGCTGTGTACTGTTCCATGAACTGCCATGGCTGTTTTGCTTCAAGGACTTGAAGTTATAGTTCTTCTGTAAATACTAAAGCAGTATCTGCAGACAGTGGGGCTTTCGTGCAGCTTGTATTTGGGTTTCAAGTTCATACCAGGCATACTTGGAAAATAAGGCTAGAAATAAATTCTCCCAGTGTACACCAGAAGGGACTCATTAAGACTATTTGGAACGGAGTGAAGAATGCAAAGCACATGCCTTAATGTCTCTCAGAGAACAGACCGACAGTTGTGTACTGTGCACATATGTTAGCCTTTTTCATGGAAGTGGTCCCATTCATTTCAGTATTACCACTGCAAACTGGCCCTACAAAGCCATCCACAGTCTGGATGCAGGAGTCGTGTAGAGTTGTAGTTCTGCAAGATGAGGCTTACTGCAAGGAGACTACGTATTGGAAACTGTACTGTAGGAGGGGTACAGCTGATATGGGGCCTTTTAATCATGCCCCATTGCGCATGCCCCACAACTGCTGGGCATTCTCACCCAGCCGGCCCTGATATGAGACAGTCACTGATGCTGGATAACTGAAGGCATCAAGAAACACTGGTGCCATCTTGCAGGGACTGAAGGCTATAGTGAATCTTACTGGGAAATGTTCTGTACAGGAACACAGAGATTCAGCCTGAGCACCACCACCAAACTCTGCACAGAAGATGGAACTGCAGAGAGACGAAGCATACTAGAGAATAAGCTAGGCCCAAATGGGTCAAGTATTAACTTTCTGGCCCAAATAATGGCTTCCATGTCAGGCTTACTCACACATCATTTGAGCAACTAGGAATCTAAAACTGGCAGTGCACTTGCAAATCCACTTACTCTAGCCACTTTGAAGCTCTTTTTAAAAATAAATTTTAAAAACACATTCTATTTTTAATGGATGAATTAACATTTAAATTAATAAACGTTCCTGCTGTGCTTTGTACTTTTAAAGGGAAGAAAAGCGCGGACAGCCCACCAGACTATGGTGAAAAAGGAAAAAAGTAGAACGGATGACTAAAATCTCTCTTTAAACCACTGGTAGTTACACCTGTCAAATGCACTGTGAAGTCAGTGGGTGCTGGGTAGGAAAAAACACAATATAGTGATGTATGTCTGTGTGCAGCTACAGAGCAGCAATCAATTCACCTAATAGCAAAAATATTTTACAAATAAATAGTGGGTAAAGATAATCACTACTGCAATATCTTTTTCTAAGGGATGGACAACAGTGTAAAATTTCATCAGAATGAAGCAGAGGGAGAATTGGGATTTCAGGCCCCTCCACCAGCGCAAGCTCCATTTGGCTCCTCCTCTCCTGGAACTGTTTACATTCAAACTGATTATATAAAAAACAATTACGTTGATTTAAGAATTGGCGCTTGCTTGCTTGCTTTCCTCTTCCTTTCTCACCCCCTTCCTCCTTTTGTGTTGTGTCTTTAAGACTGTAATCCTATGGGGCAGGGATGTTGGGATACTGCCAGGGAGCCAAAGTCCATCATGGCTCCCAAGCCGGCTGCCGGACGATCCATCGATCTCCCGTAGACACGCAGTATCAGCAATTAGTGACATGAGCTCCAGAAATAGCCTGCCACATTCCAGAACTCAATGCATGCTCTGTCAGCAGATAATGCACAGCGAAAGTCGCACTCAGGAGAGCATTATTTACAAGTTTTATTCAGCATTGATCAGAACAAAGAAAAACATGACTGCCTACTTCAGTGTCTCCAGACACAGAGAAAAACGAAAGCAATAGAAAACATAAACTTCCTGTGAACAGGAAATGCGCAGACTCTGTGACTCACAAAGCCTGCTCCCTTTTAAGGTGGAACGGAAATATCCTAACAAGGGACTGTCTTGTTTTTATGACCTTATGTCGACTGCTCTGGGAGCCTTTTTGGCTGAGGAACCAGGAGGCCAAGCTTTGTGTTTTTTAAGGGAGGAAAAGGGGATTTGATCTAATGCAAGTCACCCCCAAGGCTCTATTTCAGCTGAAGAGCATGGTAAAAATGCTTTAAATAAATAAAATGACACATTCATGAAGAGCAGTCAAGAGTGTGCTTAAGTGTGCTTAAGTCTCATTGAAACTAATATGGGTTTAGTGCACAGTTAAATACTCTATTCCCCTGAACCTGAAGGCACACAGACCTAACTTCCTTTGGACTAAGCCTCAAGAGTATATTTCATTCATTCTGCACAGATGCCAAATTGCCACACCAAGCCAGACACTGAAGTATGATCCACAATTACCTGGATATATATAGAGAGAGATATGCCATGTCACACATATTGAGTGTGCTATGTAGCAACAACACACACAGAGGAACTGAAAGAACGAGCAAGAGAAATCTGTGCACATATAAAACTTACTCAATAATGACACATGTTGTCTCCTGAGTGCCACAATTTCCTGGGATGGATTCAAGCATGTGCCAGAAATTTTGGTTCACACAGTTAAAGTGAATTAAAATCCACTTTAAAAACCCCACAACTTACCTTTTGTGATTAGGAAAATGATGGGAAATGCATTTAAAAGTGTAGGGTGAATGAGTAATTGAGGGGGAGATGCATAACCACCTCACGAGCGAATCAGAATTAATGATCAATAAAGACTGGACAGAGTCTAGCCTCTGCATAATCACTGTCTAAATCCACAGGGTATAAATAATAAATTTTGGAGATAAATTCTATGGTTGGCCTCAGTCAGAGGTAGGAGCTGGCTGGCTGGCCCGTTATTTTTAAAAATTTAAATGGGCCAATCATGACCCTAGTGGGCTTAGGTGAGGGCGGAAAAAGGTATTGGGTTGGATCAATAGTCAAAAGCTGAAGCGTGGGTGGGTGCTGCATCCTCCATATGTGGGATCGAAACTAGGGACTACCGGGGTCAGGGGCAGAATTCTGCCCAAAATCCTAGATGGGGGCTAATGGGCCACAGAACACCCAAAATGGCGACCTGGAGGGATAGCCTCATTTGATTTGCATCATTCATGGGGGAATCCTTAACCCTAGGATTGACTCTGATGGAGTTCTTATTAACGTTGTATTGCTATTGTAATAATAATTACAACAATTGTCCATTCGCGAGCACACACACACACACACATATAGACATACACAGTGGTACCTCAGGTTACATACGCTTCAGGTTACATACGCTTCAGGTTACATACGCTTCAGATTACAGACTCCACTAACCCAGAAATAGTGCTTCAGGTTAAGAACTTTGCTTCAGGATGAAAACAGAAATCGGGCTCCAGCGGTGTGGCGGCAGCAGGAGGCCCCATTAGCTAAAGTGGTGCTTCAGGTTAAGAACAGTTTCAGGTTAAGTACGGACCTCCGGAACGAATTAAGTACTTAACCTGAGGTACCACCGTATATATATATATAAAAGAGATCATATATATGAGAAATGGTTCCCCCTCCCCCAAAGAATATTAAAAGTGATGTCATCATAAATGTCTTGGTGAGGGCAAAGAGAACAAAAAAATGCCCCATAAAGTTAAGCTATAATTTACAAGTGCTATCTCTTGTCTGTTATCTGTACTGCTATTTCATACACCTGTATCCAAGTGCATGTATTTAGTTGCCAGAAAGGCTGCAGATATAACAGAATTCTAAAAAGCGCTTTCAGTACCCTCCTCCCCTGTAACGTGAAACTACTCTTGCAGAACTAAATACCGTGTAGAGTATTTTGCACAATTCAATTATTTTTTCCACCTGAGACTAATTTTTAGAAGGCTATTTTGGAAGCTTAAAAAAAACACACTATAACGTAAACTTTGCCGGAGAGTAAGGTCTTTTCTGCAAGCAAACATGGAACATTTTAATGATTTAATTAAATCAGTGCACGCCCCTGTATGGAGGACAGTCTTATTTTTGTCAACTAAGAGTAGCTTGTTTTAGTTTTATCTTAATTGTAATCTTAAATTTGTTTCAAGTCAAGCCAGACTAGGCTCCAAAATGGTAATATATTCCTGAGCAAAAGTAAAAAATGGCCATACAAAACCGAGATACCCAAAAACCTTTGCGCAGCATAAGCCTAAGTGTGTTTACGCAGAAGGAAGCCCTGCTGTGCTCGATGGGTTTCGTGCCCGAGTCTCTGTGTTCAGGGTTGCAGCTTTAAACATTTACATAGCTTTCTGCCTAATGATTCATATGCCTCGAAGATGTAAAGATGCTAAAATAGTCAAATGTAAACAATACATGTAGCTTTTCCCTATTCTTTTGCCCTTGTTGTGTACTGAGAGAGGAAATGAGTCACAAGTTATCGTGGTGCTAATACTCTATACGTTAAATGGTAGACACTACATTTGACGGAGCGTATGGCAATGGTCTATTCTCATCAGCTGATTCCATTCCATCTGAGAACATGGTGTTTTGTTTTTAAGCCATGAGTTTTCAGTCTTGTTGACAGCTTATTGTGTGTGTGTGTGTGTGGTGGGAGTTGCCTCTCGACCCTGGTGCAGTTTGTGGGGCAACATTTATTACTATTATTGCTATTATTAATTAAATTTCTACACTGCCCTTCATCCAATGATCACAGAGCAGTTTACAATACGAAAAAACAAAATACAGTGGTACCTCTGGATGCAAACAGGATCCATTCCGGAGCCCCGTTTGCATCCTGAAGCGAATGCAACCCGCATCCGTGGGTCACGATTTGCCGCTTCTGTGCGTGACGTCATTTTGAGCGTCTGCGCATGCGTGAGCGGCAAAACCCGGAAGTAACACGCTCCGTTACTTCCGGGTTGCCGCAGAGCGCAACCCGAAAATGCTTAACCCGAAGCTACTTCAACCCGAAGTATGACTGTACATGCCATAATAACAAACAAAAACAATAACCCCACACCCACAATATTCATTATTTTTATTATTATATGCCCCCACGACAACTCGTACCATCGTGGCGGCTTGGAAAAAGGATACGGTCACATACTTTGCTGAGCAAGACAAGATCGTCAGAAGGAGCAGAAAGGATCAAACCACACACAGCCACTGGCGGAGGACCATGATCCTAGTGGGGTGCCATCGCAGCTGCCCCCACCCCACGCTGGGCACCACGCCCCCACAGGTGGCACGCCTCACCTCCAGGACGCGCGCCAGCCACGCCCCCACCTGCTCTCTGCCCCCAGTGCCAGAGCATGAAGCTCCGCCATTTCACACAGCGCCAATGGCACAAAATATAGTTTTTCAAAACGTAAATAGCTGTTGGGGGGGTCAGGGGGGTCAGGGTAGCAGTGCTCAGGGAGGCTGCTTCTACCCCAACACAATCCTGATTGTGACCAGCAATCCTGACCAGCAATGGCCATTTATGTTTTCTAAAGCACATTTTGTTGTTTACCCCTAAATAGGTACATGGAGGGGGGAAGCTACCCTTTTCACTGCACAGTTACCCAGGAAGGCACAGATCATTATGCACTACCACTTTCAGAAGCTTTTTGCCAGTTGTTTAAAAACAAACAAACAAAAACACAGAAGACGTGGATCACTTGTAAGTTCTTCCAAAACAATTTAAGTCGATTGAAAGCATGTGGAACCTTCAAAAAAATAATAAATAAATCCACATGGACTTGGGAGTGAATGGACCTGCAAGGGACACAGGCTGGATCTAGACTGGTTCTTCCACCTCTATCTTCCAGTCAGGCAAGAGAAGATTGTCCTTTATGAAGGTACAATCTGTCACTGTTGCACTTGAGAAGGTATTTTTTTCCTGGCTCACAGTATCTTGTTTTGAGAAAAAAGAGAGAGTCCCGGCTACGAATCACACGTAACTGCACAGAAAAACAGCTGCACTTGGCTTCCCCCAATTTTTTTTTAAGGGAAAATATATTTCCTACATACACATACATCTCTTTCATCCTATCACTCCAAATGTAAAACAAACAAAAGTACTGGTAGAAAACCTGGAACCGCTCAACCAAAAGGCATCCCTTCCAAAGAAATGCAAAATGGGGGCCTGGAGCAGGAACAGTAAACTCAGGAGAAGTTATCTGCAGCTTCTGATGATGATTCACTGTATATATTTCCTAGGAGGTCCTGCGATATAATAATAAACACTCTCACTAGTTGAGAACTCTTTGCAATTCTTAAAGTCTCTACAACACGATGGACTAACAAAGATTCTTCCTTTAGGGGGGCTGCAAAATGTTGAAAAAGACATTTGGCTGGGGTGGGATCAATTTAAGAAACAGCCTGTTGTTTGGGGCCAAGAATATGAAGGAAGGCGGAACACTCTTCCTTTGTGGTCTGAAGAGCTCACACCTCCGCTCAGTTTCCCCTCAAGAACTGTAATGTTTATAGGCCGCCTCTGCTTTTCTGGTAGGGAGGAGGAATGGGATTCTACCAATTCATTAAATGTTAGTTTCGACGTCATATTTCTTTCACCTCCAAACCAAGGGATATCAGTATCAGAAATGCTTTGTCGGAAGCCGGAACCCATGCAAAATTTTGCAAGAAAATAGTGCATTGAGAAAAATAAGGACTGATTCCAAAGTGACCATTCCCCTCCCCCCCCTTAAGATAGCCATGGAGGAATATGTGTGGAACATTTGACAGATGTATTATAACGTGTGTACATTTCTTGCAGTTTTTGTAGGATGTACCCGTATAATTAAAGCTATGGTTTTCCCAGTTGTGATGTATGGAAGTGAGAGCTGGACCATAAAAAAGGCTGATCGCCGAAGAATTGATGCTTTTGAATTATGGTGCTGGAGGAGACTCTTGAGAGTCCCATGGACTGCAAGAAGATCAAACCTCTCCATTCTGAAGGAAATCAGCCCTGAGGGCTCACTGGAAGGACAGATCCTGAAGCTGAGACTCCAATACTTTGGCCACCTCATGAGAAGAGAAGACTCCCTGGAAAAGACCCTGATGTTGGGAAAGATTGAGGGAATAAGGAGAAGGGGACGACAGAGGACGAGATGGTTGGACAGTGTTCTTGAAGCTACCAGCATGAGTTTGACCAAACTGCAGGAGGCAGTGGAAGACAGGAGTGCCTGGCGTGCTCTGGTCCATGGGGTCATGAAGAGTCGGACACAACTAAACAACTAAACAACAACAATCCACGATACCTCCTACAGTCAAAGACTGATAGGGCAAAATTGCTTGGAATAATTCCAAAAGAAGCTAAAAGGGCATCACGGAAGCTCTGATTTTACAGTGAAGCTGTAAAATTTATCAGAGGGCTTTCACTCAGCTCCCTTTTGAATTTTTCATTGAGTTCTGCCTAAAGTGAAACCACGTGAGAAGCATTTGCAAAGGAGTATTTGGGGAGAGGCATTTGGGTCAGCAATGGCCAAACAAAAACAGCCAGGCGTGCTCAGCATGAGCACAGACCAAAAGGCTACTTCTGCACTGGGAGTGCCTGGGCCAGCTGCACCTATACAACGATGACCCAGATTCTTCACTGCCTTGCCATACCTGTGTGGGCATCCCTGAGTGGCAGATGACTCTTGCTATACAGTGGTACCTCAGTTACATACGCTTCAGGTTACAGACTCCGCTAACCCAGAAATAGTACCTCGGGTTAAGAACTTTGCTTCAGGATGAGAACAGAAATGATGTTCCAGCGGCGCGGCAGCAGCGGGAGGCCCCATTAGCTAAAGTGGTGCTTCAGGTTAAGAACAGTTTCAGGTTAAGAACAGACCTCCGGAACTTATTAAGTACTTAACCCGAGGTACCACTCTATATCAGAGCTCTTCACAAGCCCCTGCTGAGTTGAATGAACCTGCTCACTCCAAAAAAGAAGTGTGAAAAATTACTACCCCTTTTAGATCTGTCTCCACAATACCCGAAAAAAACTCACTGAAAACAAGCCAACAATGATTCTTGAGTCCAGTCTGTCTTGCACAAATAACTACATTTGGTTCTCCTACATAGGGAACATGACAGAAGAGGAGCATACATGTGATGGACTTGGTACAAATTTTGGGAAGAGGTAATGAAGGAAATTTCTGAAATAATAGGTGCACCAGTTCCTTTAAACCTCACACGATGCCTTTTATCAAATTTTGATGAGTCAAATATGGATTTAGTATGTAAACCACTTATAATTTTTTCTGTTAGTAGCAGCTCATTTGACCATATTGCTGTTGGGCCTTCCTTTAAATATTTTGTTCAATTAAGTAATGTTTATGCTCATCTCTGATGGAAAGATGTACAAATTCAGCATATCTCAGGGTGCAGCAAAACCTATACATTTTGTCTCTTATTTAGTGGCCATGGTTTATTTATATCATCGGCTAATTATGGAAATATGTCTTTATTTGGTATTCATATCATTTGTTTTGCATTCTTTTTCTACCAGGTCACTTTTTGTTGTAAGATCTAATTTACTGCATAGACCCTTGAGAAAGCACTGTGTTTTATGAGGTAATGGTTATGGACCCTGGCTTTGTTAGTTTTCTATACTGCTTTTTCCTCTTTTGATTTATTTAATTAATTTCATATTTCTTACTGGATTGTTATTTGAACTTCAAAATAAAGTCTTGATAGTTTTTTTTAAAAAAAACAACAACTGCAAAGTGTAATTGTTGTTTAAAAAAATGCTTGGGGGTGGGTGGGTAGCAAATGGACTGATTATAGAGTTAACAAGGGGGCTTGGTAGCAGACACTATGCTTTGTAGATATAAGTTCTCTTGCTTCACTGACAATTCTAGTTAGAAGTGTTCTGACAACTCTAGTTAAAGGAGCTCAGAAAGACCTCTGCCCCCAAGACCACAGAGACTCTGGCTGCCAGTCAGCGTTCTCAGGACCAAGCCAAGTGGATGAATGATCTGATTCAGTAAAGGGTAGAACTTCATATCCCACAGTGAAACATTCACAGTGAACTATGCAAAATATGAAAGATACCAGACTAGGAGTGAGCAGAACTTTCCTACAAAATGTACACAGGCCTTTCAATGTTTTTCATTGATATTTCTCTATGGGCAAAAACATCACATCAATTTGGCTTCCTCGTCTTCCTTTTCAGAAAATCAACTGTCTTATAATGTGTCAAAGCACTAGCTCTGGGTTCTCTGCATTGACCAACAGCGGCTCTTTGGGATTTCAGATAGGAATCTCTCCGAGAGCTACCTGGAGATGCTGAGAATTGAAGCTGGGTCCTTCAGCATGCAACAAGGATGCTCCATCATTGAGCTATGGCCCTTTTAAGATGCTGTATGCAGTCTTAATATTAAAACTAAGACATGAAACTCGGTTACATCTCAGTCCCAACTAAATAGCTCAGATAGATAGATATATAGATAGATAGATGCGGGTGGCGCTGTGGTCTAAACCACAGAGCCTAGGACTTGCTGATCGGAAGGTCAGCAGTTCGAATCCCCGCAACATGGTGAGCTCCCATTGCTTGGTCCCTGCTCCTGCCAACCTAGCAGTTCGAAAGCACACCAATGTAAGTAGATAAAAAGGTACCGCTCCGGCGGGAAGGTAAACGGCACTTCTGTGCACTGCTCTGGTTCGCCAGAAGCGGCTTAGTCATGCTGGCCACATGACCCGGACGCTGTACGCTGACTCCCTCAGCCAATAAAGCGAGATGAGTGCCACAACCCCAGAGTCGGCCATGACTGGACCTAATGGTCAGGGGTCTCTTTACACACACACACACACACACACACACACACACACACGAATGAGATATAGTTTTGTTTTCCAGTTTGAAGAAAAAAATTCATGTGTGTGTGTTTGTGTGTGAATTCTTTTCTTCAAACTGAATAACAAATTGACTGAAAGTGAGAGACCAAGGAGTGGCATATTATAAAACATGAAGCAGAACATGGAAAGAGAAGGCTATGGATAAAGACGATGAATTTCTTCATTAAAACTACATATTTCCAGGGGATGCTGAGTCAAGTCAACCAACCAACCAACCAACCAACCAACCAACCACAAGCCTCTGAAAACAATATGGTATAACCATCTCCAAGACGGCTGCATTGTGCCTTGCACACCTCCTTCCAGCATCTCCTACAGCCAAGCTGGTGGCAAAGGTATTGCTCCGCTTTCCTTTGGACCCCATCAGCGAGGCTGAGAGGGGGGTCTTGTCGTCTGGGCAGCCCAGGACCTCCATACACACTGCCCCAGGGAGGTCACTTTGGTCCTGCTAACTCAGTGGTTTTTCACCCCCGGAGGCGCACTCAATTGTCTCTTGAGACAGACAGATGCCACAACGACAACATTAGTAATAACAGCAGCAATAGTAGTCACTGTAGTGGGAGAAGGAGAAGGAGGAGGTTGGGGTTGTGGCTGCTTTGTCTTAAGACATGAAGGCTGATTACCAGGTGCACACTCATGTCGTGCCTATATTTGGGCGCCAAATTCCCTTTGATGGATAGCACTGTCAGAGGTTTGGCAGAGTTTGCTGTCTGCCTGCCCCTTCTCATCGCCATCAGCCCTTACTTGCTTAAACTTTAGCCAGCTGTCTTCAGCCCAGGTGCTGATCTCCTGCAGGCAGAGTGACAAGCAAAATGGTATATACAGACAGTTCAAGGGAACATATAGTCAGATTGGTGTTTGGTGTGTCTCACAACCAGTCCCCAAGGGCTCGTGCATGCTACGTGAAGGAGGAGGAGGAGGAGAAAAGGATGGACTGCAAAGTAAAATGGGATGGATCATAAGACTTGGTCTGAAAATGAAGTATGGCCCACCCTTGTGAGCAACAACACTAAGAAATATATGGTCAAGGTGAGTGTGGTGTCTGTTCTGCCAGCGCAACACAACTTGCACAATAGTCTTGGTGTGTTCTCCCCCACCCCCGATTGGAATGTTTTTATGGCTTTGTAGGGTTTGTATGGTCTGAAGCTCAACATCAAAAAAACGAAGATCATGGCCACTGATCCCATCACCTCCTGGCAAATAGAAGGGGGGGGAATGGAGGCAGTGAGAGATTTTACTTTCTTGGGCTCCATGATCACTGCAGATGGTGACAGCAGTCACAAAATTAAAAGATGCCTGCTTCTTGGGAGAAAAGCAATGACAAACCTAGACAGCATCTTAAAAGCAGAGACATCACCTTGCCAACAAAGGTCCGTATAGTTCAAGCTATGGTTTTCCCAGTAGTGATGTATGGAAGTGAGAGCTGGACCATCAAGAAGGCTGATCGCCGAAGAATTGATGCTTTTGAATTATGGTGCTGGAGGAGACTCTTGAGAGTCCCATGGACTGCAAGGAGATCAAACGTATCCATTCTTAAGGAAATCAGCCCTGAGTGCTCACTGGAAGGACAGATCCTGAAGATCCTGAATACTTTGGCCACCTCATGAGAAGAGAAGACTCCCTGGAAAAGACTCTGATGTTGGGAAAGATGGAGGGCACAAGGAGAAGGGGACGACAGAGGACGAGATGGTTGGATAGTGTTCTTGAAGCTACCAGCATGAGTTTGGCAAAAATGCAGGAGGCAGTGGAAGACAGCAGTGCCTGGCGTGCTCCGGTCCATGGGGTCACGAAGAGTCAGACACAACTAAACGACTAAACAACAACAACAAGGGTTTGCTTTAAAAAATAAAAGCTTTCATCATTTGTAAGACAACTGTGAAGTGGGATATAAATATAATAAATGTGTTTTACCAGTGCTGGGAATTGGCTAAGCATGGGTTGGCATGAAGGAATTTTCAGGAACATGATACACTCATTCCTGTGAAATGCGCACATTGTGCTGCTGTGTGAAACACACACACAATGTAATGCTTGGTAGCACCCAGAGCCAAAAGTAACCTACTCTTAGATATCTTTCTCAAACCCCAAATCATAAGCACCAGCAACCGGAACAGCAGGAGTCAGGAAGCCAAGTTCTTGATCCCATCTGGGCCGGCCATCCTCACGACTGCCAAAGGACTGCAGAAATGACAAATGCCACATGGTACTCACAGGAGAGGAAGAGTCCCATGAATCAGACACTGTGGGAATGAAAACCACAAAGGAAACGGAACACAAAAGTAGAAAGAGACGTAGAAAAACATCTGCAGGCACAGTTGTTTGTGGTACGGGGTATACCATTAAGGAGGGAAGTCTCTGCCTACGCGGTATTCACAATCTAAATAAAAAAGGTGAGGAAACCAACATTGCTAAGTGCAGGGAATGTTTTCATTGCTTCTGCTGCTTGACATTAAACAATAAAAAGAATGTTAGAAAATAGGTCTTGGGTGTCATAAAAGGAAGATGGAAAGAATATACATATGTGTCCTCATGGGAACATCTGTAGGAAACCATTAAGTAGCTGTGCAACAACACGGGAAGAACATCTGTACAGACCACCAGCTTTGCTGCAATTATAATATTGGACAATCCATAATGTCTTTTATTCAAAGGTCACAGATCTTGTCCCAAATTAATTAAGCCACATAACATCCGCGTGAGGGAAGACACAGTGGGAGGAATACTTCAAAGAGCACCAGAGTCAGCTGCTTCTGGGTTAGAAACCACAGCACCTGTTTCCAGCACACGACAATACAGTTTTTAGGGCAGGAAGCAAAGCACAAAGCTCAAAGAGCAGAAGTAACTCAGGACTGCTGAGAAGCAACCGATATTTAATCAGAGGGGATGTTACTACTTTTTGCTACTGCAAGTGTCCTGTGGCCTCTACACAAAATAGCAGTCTTATTACAAAGGTAAAAAATTCAGTGATCTTCTTTTGACTTTTAAAAGTTCTGATTTAACACTCCTTCATAGGAAACAGAACCATTTTCTAGAATGTCAACTCCATGCAAGTGATGGGCATTACCAAACAGCACTAATTCAGTCTGATTAATTATCGTTGTTCCAATACAGCACGAGGTAATGTAGAAATTATTCAAAATAAAAAATGAAACGTAAGAGCTGTAAAAACAATATCACCAGAAAAAAATAGCAACACAAGCCTCAGTATATGAGAACAATTTAACCTGTCAACATTAAGTTAAAAGCAAAGGGACTTCATCACTACTTCACTGCATCACTACAGTGAGTATCACTGCAGAGAAGGACAACCCTATATTGTGCTCCAGGCCTCAGGCAGATCTGACCTCCTGGACAGCAGAATTGTGGAGGAGAACCTCATCAGGGAATCTGAGGGAACAGGGGGGTTCATATCTGATATGGGACTTAGGCACTTCCGAAGATACACTCAGGACGCGGGTGGCGCTGTGGGTTAAATCACAGAGCCTAGGACTTGCTGATCAGAAGGTCGGCGGTTCGAATCCCTGCGACGGGGTGAGCTCCCGTTGCTCGGTCCCTGCTCCTGCCAACCTAGCAGTTCGAAAGCACATCAAAGTGCAAGTAGATAAATAGGTACTGCTCCAGTGGGAAGGTAAACGGCATTTCCGTGCGCTGCTCTGGTTCACCAGAAGCGGCTTAGTCATGCTGGCCACATGACCCGGAAGCTGTACGCCGGCTCCCTCGGCCAATAGAGCGAGATGAGTGCCGCAACCCCAGAGTCGTCCATGACTGGACCTAATGGTCAGGGATCCCTTTACCTTTACCTTTAAGATACACTCAGCCTACACCCAGGGCCCTTTAAGGTTTGCAGCAACCCTGAAAACTCCCTTTGCCTTTCTGTGCATCACGTGTTCAGAAAAGGAGAAGGTGCTTAGGAAGGGACTCCAAGCTGCTCTAGTCAACTGCTGAAAAACAACAGGAAGACTGACTTCTTTTTACACAGTATGTCAAGGAAATTAGATATGGTCTACTAGCTAGATAGTATCAGAAAACAAATGCAATCATATAAACAACAGACCTTTGTTTTATTGCAATATGGCAATACTCCTAAGAAAGTACTCTATTAAGTTAGTCCATTTTTCTGTGCTTGTCACTCAAATTCTCAGCCTCCTCTCCAAGGGACTGTCTAGTGCAATACATTTAGACTATGCTGTACGTAAAAGTTGAAGACACAAGGCCAACACTATTTGCTTATGCATTGGACTTCTTCCTCAAAATGTCCTACAAAAATCCCTTGGACACCAGTCACTGAACAAAGCTGAAACTATTACACTCCATACTCATTTTATTGTCTCACCAGACATCACAAACTAGCACAGCAAACAAGTCAGAAAATGCATGCACCAGGGATCTGGGAAGTGACAAACAAGTTACTATTTGTGATTTCCAGATCAGGCTTCCAGCTGTTTCTCTTGTCTTTACATCCCTTTCACAACCCTCAGAGGCTCAGCAGCCTGGAACTAACCTCTGCACATCAGTAATCAAACTGAACAGGAAGCAATTCTCTCTCTTTTTTTAAATTAACCTGTGTAAACATTTCCCTCCAACTCTCTCTCGCTCTCTCAAAAATTCCCAGTGGTTGAAAATCCAACAGAAGATCAGTGTGAACAGTTTGCCAGAAAGCAGCGGGCCAAAGAGCGAGCTTATTGCTCCACACACAAGTCGCTTTCTGCCCGTTGCCAATTAGATGGGCAATGGAGACTAAGCGAGAAACCTTGTGCAGAGCCAGTGGATAATTCCACATGGATACACACAAGACAGCCAATGGAAACCATGATGTAAAGTTCAGGTCTAGGGCACTGCTTCAAGAGCTGAGTCTAACAAGGCCTTGTTGTCAGCTTTGTCATGAATGAATGAAAACCTAAGTTAGAGGATCAGAGCAAATGGTACTTGAAGGATTAAGAAGATGACCGCTGATATGCTTGCTAACTTGGTTCTTGACACTCTGATCATAACCATTTGTGCTTGAGTAACTGTCTGCAGCCCGCTTACAAATGTTGGCCTAAAACCATGTCCTGAAACCGTGCACTGATGCAGCGACTGAGCACTGGCTTACGGAAGAGGAAAGTCTCGCAGGCATAACCCCTTGGGGTTTAACTAGACATTACAAGAGGCAGGGAGCGCTCTCTGTGTGTGTTCATGATAACATCTAGTTTTAGATGTGAAAACATGTGATGTCATTGCTCAGTAAGCTTCCCAGTCGCTGCAACTGACAGCAATGATCAGGGGAGCAGGGATGGTTTTGCAGGTAGGGTGATGATGCTATATAATGCATTGGGTAAAACCAGACATTACCAGACATAGAGGGGATGAGGGACAAGGATTAATAGAAGTTGCATGGCTGGTGGAGGGATGCAGCTCAATGAGAACACATCTGCTTTGCATGCAGAAGGTGCCAGATTCAATCCCCAGCATCTCCAGGTAGGTCTAGGAAAGATTCCCTGTCTGAAACCCCAGAGAGCAACTGTCAGGCACTACTAAACTAGATGGGCCAGGGTCTGACATAAGGCAGCTTCATATGTGAACTGTGCTCTAAAAAGGTAAAGGTAAAGGATCCCTAACAGTTAAGCCCAGTAGCAGATGACTCTGGGGGTGCGGCACTCATCTCACTTTACAGGACAAGGGAGCTGGCGTTTGTCCGCAGACAGTTTTTCTGGGTCATGTGGCCAGCATGACTAAGCCGCTTCTGGCGAAACCAGAGCAGCACACGGAAATGCCATTTACCTTCCTGCCGAAGTGGTACCTATTTATCTACTTGCACTTTTTGGCATGCTTTTGAACTGCTAGGTTGGCAGGAGCAGGGACCGAGCAACGGGAGCTCACCCCGTTGTGGGGATTTGAACTGCCGACCTTCTAATCAGCAAGCCCAAGAGGCTCAGTGGTTTAGACCACAGCACCACCTGAGTCCCCTCGAACTGTCCTCTAGTTAGACTCTTATTTTCTATCTTCAACTGAAATGGAGCGTGAATAACATGCAACTGCGTTTTTGCACATCCAAGCCATGCTACCTTCCTCCAACCATTCCCCCATTCCCCCTCTGTTGTTTCCTGTCAAAGTGAAGCTGTGAGGGGCTTTTGTTACTCTGTAAAGCACTTGAATTATGGTGCTGGAGGAGACTCTTGAGAGTCCCAGGGACTGCAAGAAGATCAAACCTCTCCATTCTGAAGGAAATCAGCCCTGAGTGCTCACTGGAAGGACAGAGCCTGAAGCTGAGGCTCCAATACTTTGGCCACCTCATGAGAAGAGAGACTCCCTGGAAAAGACCCTGATGTTGGGAAAGATGGAGGGCACAAGGAGAAGGGGACGACAGAGGACGAGATGGTTGGACAGTGTTCTGGAAGCTACCAGCATGAGTTTGACCAAACTGCGGGAGGCAGTGGAAGACAGGAGTGCCTGGCATGCTCTGGTCCATGGGGTCACGAAGAGTTGGACACGACTAAACGACTAAACAACAGTAAAAACCACTATGCACACTGATGTCTTTTAAAGGAAACAAGGTCCATACTATTATACCATCCCTTCCCATATCTGAATACTTGTTTTAGCAGTTGCTAACGCAAAATTCATCTCTCAGGTTTATGAGGTCACTGTCACTGCCTCTCAGCGTAAGTGTTACTGTCTCCCGCAACAGTTTTATCTTCTAGCAATGGGCTATATATCTAGATGAGGAGTTAACTATTTAGCTGAATCCTCAGACCGCAACACAAAACGATAAGTAGTGCAACAAAGTCCTGAGCTGAACCAGGTTGACAATATATTGCATGCAATATTACCCCGCTGGCACGTTAGTTACCTCTAAATGTTTTCCCCAGTGGTATTTATGCAGAATGGATGCTTTGATGCTGAATTTTGAACCTACATTTGCACCCTTAAGTTTAAAGACATTGAAGGGTCTTGCCCAGACACAACAGTGAATAGGGTCAAAGTTGACAGAGCACAAGACCCCACACTCTTGTTTTAACCCACCCAGGAAATAGGTCATACAATAAAGATTCCCAAGTAAATACTCCATGGCTTTTTAAATACTGAATTTGGGTCACTGATGGAGATACAGTGGTACCTCGCAAGACGAATGCCTCTCAAGACGAAAAACTCGCAAGACGAAAGAGTTTTGGGTTTTTTGAGTTGCTTCACGAGACGAATTTCCCTATGGGCTTGCTTCGCAAGACGGAAACGTCTTGCAAGTTTGTTTCCTTTTTCTTAAAACCGTTACTGTAATACAGGGTGCATTGCTTGAAGAGGTGCAGTTGCGACTTGACTTTGGGGAGCAACTCATAGAACGCGGTGTGGTAGCCTTTTTTGAGGTTTTTGAAGATTTTTTTGAAAAAATTGAAACCGTGCTTCGCAAGACGAAAAAACTCGCAAGACGAAAAAACTCGCAGAACGAATTAATTTCGTCTTGTGAGGCACCACTGTATACTGATGCAGTAGATAAGCTGATACTGACCAGATGCTTGGAAGCTGTGGCTGGATGGTTTCGTGGGAGCCGATTGAAACTAAATCCTTCGAAGACAGAGGTCCTATGGCTGGGTTGGGATGGCATGGGGATGAGGGACCAACTCCCTTCTCTTGCGGGGGCCCAATTAGTGCCATTGCCTTCCGTTAAGAGTTTGGGTGTAATCCTTGACGCCTCCCTTTCCATGGAGGCGCAAGTTATAGCAACAGCCAAGGCGACATTTTTCCACCTTTGCCGCATCAAGCAGTTGGTCCCTTACCTTTCCCGCCCTGACCTGGCCACAGTGATCCATGCGACGGTCATCTCCAGGCTTGACTACTGTAATTCGCTCTACGCGGGGCTGCCCTTGAAGCTGTCCCAAAAACTCTAGCGGGTGCAGAATGCTGCAGCGAGGCCCCTCACGGGGTCTCTGCCATGGGAGCATATTCACCCAGTGCTTTTCAAGCTGCACTGGCTCCCGGTGGAGTACAGGATCAGATTTAAGGTGCTGCTTTTGACCTTTAAAGCCCTTCATGGCCTAGGACCCTCGTACCTACAGGACCGCCTCTCCCGGTATGCCCCATGGAGAGCCTCAAGGTCCATAAATAGCAACACCCTTGTGGTCCCGGGCCCTAAGGAAGTTAGTTTGGCTTCAACCAGAGCCAGGGCCTTTTCAACTCTGGCTCCAGTCTGGTGGAACGCTCTGCCTCATGAGACCAGGGCCCTGCAGGATCTGATTTCTTTCTGCAGGGCCTGTAAGACAGAGTTGTTCTGCCTGGCCTTTGGCTTGGAGCCAATTTGATTCTCTCCCTCTCTTTCTTTTTTCTTTTCCTTCTCCTCCTGCAATGAGGCTACATTTTAATATTTTAATGTTTCAATATTTTAATGTTGTATTTTTAATTTTGTTTTTAAGTTGTAATCATTTAACTTGTTTTTATTATTGCTTGTAAGCTGCTCTGAGCCCGGCCTTGGCTGGGGAGGGCGGGGTATAAATAAAAATTATTATTATTATTATTATTATTATTATTGTAACACACCATGAAGGTACAGTGGTACCTCGGTTTACATATGCTTCAGGTTACATACGCTTCAGGTTACAGACTCCGTTAACCCAGAAATACTACCTCGGGTTAAGAACTTTGCTTCAGGATGAGAACAGAAATTGTGCAGCGGCGCAGCGGCAGCAGGAGGCCCCATGAGCTAAAGTGGTGCTTCAGGTTAAGAACAGACCTCCAGAATGAATTAAGTTCTTAACCTGAGGTACCACGATACTCAGATTGATATGTTGGACAAGCTGACAGCACACCCTATTTTCTCATATTGGACAACTGTGAGACTCTCAATATATTAGTAAAGACAGAGCAGACTTTTTACTGAAAAGCGTAACTAAACTTCAGGAACCTGGAGTTGAAAGTCTCTTATTCAGTCTGCCAGCCACTTTTACATGGGTTCATACCTTCAGTATCAGTTTTTCACAGCCACAGCTATTCCATGCTTAGGTTTCCTGCAACAATAATGATTGGTTTAACAATAGTGACAGCTGATGCCTTCCAGCTCAATGAGAATAAACTGTTTGCAGGCCATTCCAAGGTGAAGACCTAAATTCAGTGCACCCACTACCCCTCTTAAAAGACTGACCCTGGGTGGCAGTCTTTTGGAAAAGTAACCAAGACCTGATGGGATTCAACCATGAGATCACATTTTAAAACACTGCTTTTCTGCCAGAAGTGTGTGCGTTGCATCAGCTAAAGTCCTTTAGGAGATCACCACGAAACCAACCCTGAAATTTGGACACTGAGTTGGAAGTAAATTAGAAATATGATTCCATTTCAGCTCCAGGTGTTTTCCTCTCTGTTTTTGCTGCCTTTATTTGATGGCAGTATTCCATATTTTATATACATTTGAGTCCTGATACGGAAATCTATCTCTTATGCTTCTGTAACTTACTGCAACTGACCTATATCTGGAGAACAAACTCCTCTGTACAATATAAAATACAATATGAAATCTGAACTGTTACTGCCATATGGTTCCTCAAGAAGCATTGCAATGCTTCTTTTTGCCCATCTCTTACCATGATATACTAATGCAGATAAATGAGAAAGACAATTAAACAGGCTGGAAGCAGATTTTCACAGGATGCAGTCAATTTATAACGATGCTGAGCTACATTCTGCTAAAAATTGTGGAAGTCTGTTTTAACCTAAACACACAAGGAGCCTCATTTTTAGAGAAGCTTCTGGGCAGTTACATTTTTTGCAAAATCCATATGAATAATTCACTCTGGGAAATGGCTTAGGTGAAATATCTTTTTCTGGGCTGCAACCAGAGGGTTGTGTATTTCAGTGTGCCCCTGCCACTTGCATTATAATTTCTGCATCATCCAGAACAAAAAGGACAGTTCTGTATTTAAATTTGCAACCTATCAGGGGGGTTGCCAAGCAAAGTCTTAAAGCGGAAGCAAGTGTCTCATGTCAAACTTATTGCAGTTTTCGCTGATCTAGTCACTAAAGGCAAGTTGATAATGTATATACCCGTGACTGAGACACATTCAAGAATTCCAGCCCTCCTTCCTTACTACATTATTTTACTTCAAAATACATTGCAAGCCTTTTTGAAATCCCAGTTTGCTGAAGAATGCAGATGCCTTATGAATATATGTTTTCCAGTTGGGGCACTGGATAAAACATTTTTTTAATAAACAAGGTATTCTCACAGCTGTTTCATCAATACTATCACGATGAATTCAACCAAGTTGCTAATACTCTTTAAAATGTATTAAATCCAGTGCTGTGCTTAGGCACTGTGTCTGATGCAGAAATGACTTTCAGGTATTCGAAAACTGGTTCTTCTCAAGAGTTTACTCTCATCTGATGAACAGGAAAGAAAGCTGTGAGTATCTAGAGTTAAAAATAAAGGGCATATTCCAAAGAAGGCTAAATGTACTTTCATTATGCTGAGATAAATGGCACAGAAATGCACAACTGTACCCTAATAACCTATTAATTGCACTGGGAATGATATTCCTTTCCCTGGAATGTTTCCTTCATTTTGTAACTTGGATGCCAATGACCTTTTATATTGTTCCCATCTATTATGCACACTCAAGTCCATAATTTACATTGTCCTTCACTGAGGTGAACATATGTATTCTCTGCTACAGGTGCTCACATAATAGAGTCACTATACATCTTTTCAGACATTCAATCGAGTAACTGAACATGGGGGGCGGGGAGAGGCGAGGATCATGATAGCAGGCTTATGTATGCTCCAACCTACATTTGAATTGTTGCAAAGAGCAATTTACAACAGTATTGTTTACAGTTCTCAAGGAACCCTGAAAAAGAACCCTGAATCACACAATAAGAGCCCCAGATTTCAAATGCATGTTAGCTGATAGCAGGGACAGCAGGCATGATCTTGCTCCCCTCCCACCTTGCACTTTTAATATGCTGTCTGGGAAGAGTTTATGTGATTTAGCTGCACCCAATCCCTATACCCACAACAGAAAAATATTCACACCACATTTCATATGTAACAAAATGCACATTTTCCGTGATAAAAGTGTTTAACCCCAGGACAGGAAATGGTCCCATCTCACATGACACAATCTAGAAATCATTACTTTAGAGAAACCGAGGAGAGAAGTAACATTTAGCCACATACACAATTCATGTACCATCTTTAGCACCATCAGGGGAAAAGAAAACACCGTTCCCCTTTTGCCCATTTGGTGCTTGTGCCATGTAGTTCTACATAGGAAGCTTTGGGGTGGTTTTGATTATTGGAAGAACCATTAACTGTACTGTAAACAGATTGCAGCAGAATGTCTCTAACACACAAACTTCTGCTTTCAGTTAGCATCTGAATTTATAGCGCCTTGGGGTAAACAGCGAACTTGGATTTTTCCCTCTCAGTCAATATTTGCTCTCAAGTCAATAAATCTTCATATGGACCACAAAACAGAAACCAGTAATTGTTTAATACCAACTTGGCTTCCATTATAAAGGGCAAAGGAAGATTTCAATCTCCCAATTTCCTTTGCATCTGGAAAAACTTTTAACCATTCAGCGTAATCTGTTTGCCTTTAGGCCCCATCTTGGTTATGGATCTTGTTCCTGCTCCATCTATAATTACTATACATCATGCAAATGGCATATACTTTGGAATCAAGAGTCTGGGACAAGCATCAGTGTCAGCCCAGAGCAAATACATTGAAAATGGCATCACCTTGAATGTCACAAGACCTGTCAACTCCCATAATCTATAAGGTTGTTACTCCTCTGTGAGGAAACCTTGACACAAATCCCTTGACAGAGGAAAGGGAGGAGGGGAGCTATTATTCAGTAATCAGAAAGACGGTCCTGTACAGGAACCTTAGGGTGAGAAAGAAAGGCATTCAATATTTAAATAAATACTTTTGAATGATGGATTAAGGACATCCTTCGATGAGCAGCCTGTGGAAGAACTGTCTGCAACTTGCATGGGAAAGAGATAATACAAAGGCCCATAGTTGCAGGAATTACAGCAAGCTGTCTTCCAGTCCTGCTCAAGAACACAGTCTGTAAGATGCATTAGAGAAAAACATCTGTCTTAATGGAACAGAATTTAAGGCTGACATCAGAAGGAAAAGTCTGAGGAGAATTAAAAGGCAAAGGTAAACTAAGTGCTGTGGGCCTGATCCCACGGCTTTCTTTCAGCCAAGCGACAGTCTACAGCTCTGAGGGATCCATATTCTATATCTGCAGGATATTAGTTGTTGAGGGATACACAGTTTGCATAGGTAGGGATACTGGAGTAACATTCTACCTACTGTCCTTCTTTGCGCATGAATACAGGTGAGGTTGTAAGCAGCAAACTTACAAAATAAGCAACGCTCACCTGCTGCTGCGGTGCTTCTGTCACCTTGATTCATACTGATCATCTTTCACTATACTTTCACTTTTATATTTCCTCAGTAGAACAAAATGATGAATTATCATCACTGAGTGCAAAGTTCACGAGAACCTGTGTCATACACAAAATGTGACTGGTTTTTACAATGATATGTGATTTCAGCCTTGTTCTGATCCCCACCGTACATTGTAAAGGCCTTTGACTACATACAATAAATCGATTGATAGATTGATTGACTGGTTTTAATCGGTTCTTCTATTTTCAGTTCTGCCCAATATATTGGAAATCAGAAGCGTAAAGTGCTATTTACATCAGGCCTTCCATCCACCAGGTACATACACCATTGTGATGTTTTTGGGAAAAGAGGAAGGTGATTTGTTCATTCTCAACAAGTTATGATTAGGGACTATATTGGCATATCTAATCTAGATAAACAGCTGAAGTTATAAAATCTGGACAGTACATGTCCAATAAATAAAGCAGTTTTCTAACAGCTACATCTGAGCTACCTGTCTGAACATCAATTCTTATTATTAATGTTTAAGTCATCAGCCATCAGCACACTGCCTTTATAACATGCTATGCCCAAGTAAAATTAACCGCACATACAAGATGGCTTGTGGTTTTTACTATTCAATTAAAACATACCTTCTTCTGGGAAATTTCAGTTTGCAAAGCAAGTGGGATCAGTTCCTTGTTATTAATGTGAAAATGTTCTGCTTAAATCCAATTTCTTAAAGAGGAAGTAAGCAAACTTCCGATAAAATAATAGACTAATAAACACTTGGCTATTATGTGTTCTAAATTATTGTTACTATTATTTAACTTGTTAAATATAGCAGCTGTCATCTGCACTGAAGACAATGGAGTATAGCGAGATAAACTTGCAGAAAGAGTGCAACAGCACTGACGGTGTGGAACATCAACTGCAATGCTTTTTTGAAGCTTACAGTAGAACAGTCATGATTTTGTACTAAAAGCCACCAGTTTGGAAGAAAGATCTGGCATTAGGTCATGTATGCACTTGGGATGTTTGTGTATTCTGTTTATTTTTTGACCAGAAAAGCAACTCCCAGGACAGACCCTGAGTTTTCCTGAATTAACATGGTAGTCCTGGATTTCCCTCCCATGAGTCCTGTATAAATTAATTAATAGTTGTAGACCACCTAAAAAGGCAAAGCATAAATAACAGACAGACTTTCCAAATGACCTCTATAAGCCTTACCTTCTCTGCCACGGAGCCTTCCCTCTTCTACATTTTTAAAAAACAAATATAAATATTCAGTTCCTATTCCAAACACTCACTGTCTTTGTGAACTGTATGCTACACTTGAGAGCTGACATACAAAAAGCAGCTGCTGGAATAACTTAACATTTAAAACAGTTCTCTCTTTAAAAGAGTCTTAAGAGAAGTGGCTTGATATTAATTTTCACAACCTGGATTTGTAGGGCTAAGCATTACACCAGTTGTACATGGGAATGAAAACTGGATCCAGCCTCATCTTTGATAATAGCATTTCAATTTTATCCAACCATTTGAATTTCAGACATTTTAGCCACTGCACACAATGGCAACAGCATAATGTCTCAGGTTTATTAATGGGTCTACTCTTGCTATTTTTCTCTTCCTCATAGCCAGGAGTTGTAGTCCGTTCCTCATACATGCCTTATCAATTATTATTTTAATTTATTACCCAACCAACAGTATAAGATCCCAGGGTGGGTTACAACAATTTAAAATGTAACATTAAAAACAGTTTAAAATAACTTACAATCACACAAAGATGGTGGGTCCTAAAAGCATACATCTCAGAGGTATGGTAAATTCAGCATTTGTTGAAAACTGTAAAGCGAAGTTGCCAGAATCACCTCTGTGGGGAGGCAAATCTGCAACTTAGGGGTTCTCACAGAGAATGTCCTTTTCTGGGCCGCTACGGCCACCCAGAGCTACTGAGGGCAGTGGAACTATTGAGATAATCCCCTCTGTTGATCTTAACACCCAAGAAGGTCTGTAGGAAGGAAGGGGTCTTTCAGATATTTGGTGCCCAAGTCATTTTGGGCTTAAAACACTTACATGAGCACCTTGAATTGGATCTAGAAATGAACTAGTGTGGCGTTCATATGGACCCCCTGGTCGTCTCATGGACTATTGACCCATACACCACTAATCCGCTGCCACCAACCAGGTTCTCCCCGGTAAATCACATAGCCTCAGTCAGGTTCTCAAGTTAACAATGAAGAGTGTAGTTTATTGCAAACACAAATAAACTTTAAATGCATTCGAAACGCTGTTACCCTTTACCCTCTTAGTCTTATTTTGTCCGGTCTCTAACTCTTCTACCTCCCCTCACACGAACTGTCTATTTCCATCTGTCTGCCAACGGCTTTCCCAACTGCTTCTTACCAACCAACCAACCAACCAACCAACCGTCTAAACCTCGGGCTAAGCCCTTTTTATAAACAGGTAGGCTCCGCCTCTGGCTTTTCTATTGGTCTACCTATTAACTCTTTCTCTCATCCTGTACAGACATTCCAAAAGAACAGACGAACGCCACAACTAGCAACTAATGCAGCTGTTTTATAACACTTCTGTGAGACCTAAATGGAACTGCAATACCTCAAGGACCACCTCTCTCAATATGAACCGACCCGGACCCTGATACCATCATCTGAGGCTCTTCTTTGTGCTGGGTGGCAACAGGAGAGTGGGCCTTTTCTTTGGTGGCTTCCCACTTGTGGAATGTTCTCCCCAGGGTGGCTCGTCTGGCTCCTTCATTCCATATCTTTAGGCACCAATCAAAAACCTACCCCTTTGGCGAATTAAACGATCTATGGCCTTTTCAAACTGAGTGATGGGGGTATTGGTTTTATTTGTTTTTATATTATGTACATTATGTGGTTTTGTAATGTAAACCGCCTGTAATCGTCAGATGAAGAACAGTATAGAAATTAAATTAACCACAACAACCCCAGCTGCTGCATTTTGGAGTAACTGAAATTCCCAAGTCATCTTCAAGGGCAGCACCATATACAGAACACTGCAAAAAGCCAATCTGTAAGTTATCACAGCATGGAGTACAGCAACCAAGTAATTTTTGTCCAAAAGGAGCTGCTGGTGGGGAAACAGACGGAGCTGGTAAAAGGCACTCCCAGCCACTGAGACCACCTGAGCATCCACTGACTTTGCTGATTCTGGGGACACCTGCAAGCTGTTGAACTGCAAGCAGAGTGTTTGAGGACCGGGACATTTGCAAATGCTTGTTTACAAAGCTTGTTTACAAAGCCATTGTACTACCAACCTTATTATATGCTTGTGAAACATGGACCACTTATAAACACCATCTCCAACTCTTCGAAAGATTCCATTAAGGGTGTCTCTGAAAATTTTTACACATCAATTGGGAAGACAGGCGAACTAATATCAGTGTACTGGAAAAAGCAAAGATCACCAGTGTTGAAGCAATGATTCTTCAACGTCAACTTCATTGGACTGGTCATGTTGTGCGGATGCCTGATGATCGTCTTCCAAAGCAACTACTCTATTCCGAACTTAAAAATGGAAAGCGTTATGCTGGTGGTCGACAAAAGAGGTTTAAAGACTGTCTCAAGGCAAATCTTTAAAAATGTAGTATAAACACCGACAACTGGGAAACACTGGCCTTCGAGCGCTCCAGTTGGAGAACAGCCTTTACCAAAGGTGTCATGGACTTTGAAGACATTCGAACTCTGGACGCAAGGCAGAAATGTGCTAAGAGGAAGGCACGCTTGACAAATCTACACGGTGATCAACTCCCACCCGGAAACCAATGTCCCCACTGTGGAAGGACATGTGGATCCAAAATTGGCCTTCACAGTCATTTACGAACTCATTGTTAAAACTGTGTTTATGGAAGACAATCTTACTCGGCTATGGGAGATCACCAAAGAAGAAGAAGAATATCTGCTGCTTCCAGGGAGTGTAGCCCTGTACAGAGCAGACATCTCCCAGACATGAGAACTCAGAACACGTAACACTACTGTCTTCTCAGGATTTGCCTTCATTTTATTTTAGCCTCTCTCAGTTCAGATGGACAAAGATAGAATGGGTGCCATGTGTATATACTGACAATTCTTCACTCCAAACCTCCCAATGACAACAGCATGGAGGACAAGATGGAACCCTGTGTGACACCACCAGACACAATTCCCATGACATCATGCCTTGGCTCCCTGTAAAAACTTCAGTCTTTCCTAAGTTAGAAATTAAAGGTAAAGGACCCCTGACAGTTAAGTCCAGTCGCGAACGACTCTGGGGTTGCGGCACTCATCTCGCATTACTGGCCGAGGGAGCTGACGTTTGTCCGCAGACAGTTTGTCTGGGTCATGTGACCAGGATGACTAAGCCGCTTCTGGCGAAACCAGAGCAGCTTACAGAAACGCCGTTTACCTTCCTGCCGGAGCGGTACCTATTTATCTACTTGCACTTTGATGTGCTTTCGAACTGCTAGGTTGGCAGGAGCTGGGACCGAACAATGGGAGCTCACCCTGTCACAGGGATTCGAACCGCCGACCTTCTGATCAGCAAGCCCAAGGCTCAGTGGTTTACACCACAGCGCCACCCGCGTCCCAAGTTATAAGTTACCATGGTGCTCATGTAACCAGAAGGTAAGCTGCTGTTATGTAGCTTCCGATGGGAGGAATTTTACCACTCTTCTTGAGACTCATATTTCTGACCAGAATTAGATGAATGGAAAAATTGTGGTATTTACTAGAGCTCGCCACACATTTAGATGGTCTTTAGATGAACACAAAATTGAACAGTGTCTTTTTTTTAAATATCTTGGTATCACTTTCCAAGCTACATCTAGCTGGCTTGCCCACTTCAAGACTGTAGCCCTTCTAACACGTAGGACAATTGGTGCCCTGCTCAGCTTTTTTTATTCGAGGGGAGGGCAACTGGTGATCCCGGCATTAAAAGTTTTTGTTGGAAAAGTGATTCCCCAGATGCTATATGGAGTAGAACTCTGGGGATGGAATCAGAAGCTGTTAGAACGGCTTGAAATCTTCCAAAATTTTTACCTCAGAAGAATTCTAGGCCTCCCTCAGAGTACTCCGGCAGCTCTCCTAAGAGTGGAAGTAGGATTACCTTCTGTGTCTGCCAGGGCCCATTTAAGATTCCTGCGTTTTTTCACCAACCTCACAGATGCCCCGAACACCTTACTGGCTAAACAAGCCTTTGTATTATTACAAAATAATACTACTTGGCATATAAACCTACTAGATATCCTATCCAGATACAATCTACCTGAGTTTAATACCCTTAAATTGTGGAGCCCTGATAAAGTTCGGGAATGGATCTTTGAAAAAGACGCCTTTTGGACTCCACAAAGATAAAAACTCTGGGTTTTCCTACTGGTTTCCCGAGTAAAAGCAGTCAAAATCTGTGCCAACTACTTGGTGGAGATCACTGACCCCACCCTTCGGAGAGCTTTCACTATGGCACGGTTTCAAACACTGCCAACTGCATATCTGACCGGTAGATTCACAAAAACCCCAGTAGAACATCGTTTATGCCCTTGCCTTATGAAAATTAAAGAGGATCTTACACATTACCTCCTCTATTGCCCCATCTACTCGAGCTTTAGAGACGCATTGCTGCAAATTATACCCAACTCTATAACCAATCCTGAAGATAGAGTAAAATTTTTGTTAGTTGATGCAAACCCACGTATTACCCATGTGGTAGCGGTTTTTGTGATAAAGGCCATGAAAGCCAGGGAAAGACTTATGGATGACAATGTAAAGACCCCTTCATCGTCTGTTTAACTCGTTGCTCGTTTTCCCTCTCTTTCTATTTTGTGGGATGAAGGTTTTGTTGGCGTAGTATGTAATGAATTTTAATATCTTTTAACTATTGTTGTGTTAATGTTTGTGTACAGGCATGGTCCTCACAATAAACGGATTTGTCTTGAGATACAGGAAAAATTCTCCTCACTATTCGGCAGAACATCTAAACTGCCTCAGGGTCAGTTTGCTCCAAGTGTCAGGATCTATGGGAACTATTTTTATTCCAGTCCCCAGTGGCTTTGGAAGATGCCCAAAAATTGAGGTAACATCAAGGGACTAATGGACGCACGGCATCAAATTTTCCCCACCCTCCTGCAATGTAAGTTTGAATCAGAGACCGGAACGGGGGGGGTGGGGGGGCTGCAACAGGAGTTGGGGGAAGGAAGGCTATTCGGCTCCACTGTATCCCTAATGGCGTATTTGGAAGTGAAACAGGGCACACATCTGGGAAGAAACTCAATGTAATATTTATTTATTTCTATCAATAATGTCAAGCTAAGTAGCTTAGTCATCAATAATTCTAAGAAGGATTTCCTATATTTTGTGCCTTAATTCCACCATTTGGCACACTCAATACGTATTTTATTTCAGACAGAGTATGTTCTTCTTTTAAATTCCCTCCCAGAGAATTGAACTGACCTAACAATAAGTTAAGTCTCAAACAGATCAATCAGGGATTACCAACAGCTTCCAAGAGTCACTTAGTAAAAAATCATAATGTTTAAGTTGATCCTATGTGATTTTTCTTTTGCCTCCAACCTCCCCAAATGCTGCTAAGTAATCCCCATCTCTCTCCAATGCCCCAAAAGGCATTTAACTCTGTAGTCCGCAGCAATATTTCTGAAAGATATATATTTGCCTTGGAAAGAGATCCAACTACATGGCAGGCATTTTTCAAAACTTCTTCACAGGGAATGATACGCTAAGGTTCTCTGCAAAGGTACTCTCTTCCCTTCCATTTCCTTCCAACTTGCACAGATTTGAAGCTTATGCTATAATATCAAGACACTTGGGCTATTTCTCAGGAAGAAAGTATAAACATTTCCAGTAAGAGGAATTCATATAAATCCGTTTCCCAAATGGTGCTTCAGCTGTTTTTGGTTGTAAAGCTTAAATGAGAAAACAAAGAAAGCTATCTCTCAGTCCCTTAGCTTCTCCAATACACAGGCAGACATACCCAGAGTACACAACATTTATTTAAGGGCTGAAGAACCACTCTGGCAAAATCACAGAGGTCTGGAGTTTAACAACAGCGATTCCCTACAGTCAGTATAGGCTGAAGTGTAAACCCAGTCATACCAACACACTCTTCTTCTGTTTAGTCACTGAATCTTCAAATCCAATCAGTCAGGTCATGAAGGAAAAATCTCCCCTCAGGCCCTATGAATCTGAAAGCCAGCAGCAGCCCACAGAAATAGCAAATGAGCAGATATAAGCTGTTTACCATGTTCTTATTTGGGGAATTATATTTGAATTCTACTGCAGTTCAGTTACACGTTACATTTTCACGTTACATTCAGTTAAACGTTACATTTTCAGGTGTAACCGTAAGATGTTTAAGTGTGCACCTAAAAATGGGACAAGCACAGAACAGATTAAGCATTAAGAACTTAAGAGCATAAGAAGAGTCTGCTGGGTCAAGCCAATGGCCTGTCTAGTCCAACATCTTGTTCTCATGGGGAGGAACCTGTGGGGAACCTGTTAGCAGGATGCAATAACACCTTCTACGTGGGGCTACCTTTGAAGGTGACTCGGAAACTACAACTAATCCAGAATGCGGCAGCTAGACTGGTGACTGAGGGCGGCCGCCGAGACCACATAACACCGGTCTTGAAAGACCTACATTGGCTCCCAGTACATTTCTGAGCACAATTCAAAGTGTTGGTGTTGACCTTTAAAGCCCTAAATGGCCTCGGCCCAGTATATCTGAAGGAGCGTCTCCACCCCCATTGTTCTGCCCGGACACTGAGGTCCAGCGCCGAGGGCCTTCTGGGGGTTCCCTCACTGTGAGAAGCAAAGCTACTGGGAACCAGGCAGAGGGCCTTCTTGGTAGTGGTGCCCACGCTGTGGAACGCCCTTCCATCAGATGTCAAAGAGATAAATAATTACCTGACATTTAGAAGTCATCTGAAGGCAGCCCTGTTTAGGGAAGTTTTTAATGTGTGACATTTTAATGTATTCTTAATCATTGTTGGAAGCTGCCCAAAGTTGCTGGGGAAACCCAGCCAGATGGGAGGGGTACAAATAATAAATACTAATACTTATTATTATTATTCCTCACCTTTGGTTTCCAGGAAATGGTATTCAGAAACCTACAGCCTCCAACTGTGAGGGCAGAGCATAGCCACCACTGGCCAGTAGCCACTGACAGCTTTTACCTGTAAGAATTTGTCTAATCATCTTTTAAAGCCATCTAAATTGGTGGCCATCACCTCTTCCTGTGGGAGTGAAGTCCATCATGTAGAGAAACTCTTTCTTTTTCTGTCCCCAAACCTCCAACATTCAGTTTCATTCGATATTCACAAATTCTAGCACCGAGGGAAGCAGAAAAACTTCACCCACATTCTCCATGCCATGCATAATTTTGTTAAAACTTATATCATGTTGCTTCTTACTCTCATTTTCTCTAAAATGCTGCAACCTTTCTGCATAGATATTAGGAAGTCTGCCACTTAGTGGAGTGCTCTAAAAAATGCTTGCTAATCTGCATACCTTGAGTGAAAATTTCTTTGTTTTTCAAAAGAAGAAATGATGAGGTATAATAATGTGTTATTTTGTGATGTAGTTTAGAGGGGGTTTTGTATGTAGCCAATGTGGGTGTTTTTACCCTGATTTTGCATGTAGCCGAATGAAAAAGCCATGGTGCTATACTCACAATGGGAAAGGGGGAGAGTGTGTGCTACTTAGCACTCTGTTGTCAATGCTGTGTTTCCCTAAGGATGGAATAAATATTCTCCAACCTGGTTCCCGCCAGATGTTTTGGACTAAAACTCCCAACAGCCCTAGCAAGCATGGCTAAGACTCAGGTATGATGGGAACTGTAGATGAACAACATCTGGAGAACACCAGTTTGAAGAAGCCCTGGACTACAGTCAAGATTAGGTGTAATTGACAGAGTGAAATATGCTCCAACTGAAATCTACGTGACTGCTACAGTGTTCTTGGAGAGTATATAACTATTGCCTTCTGGAAGCAGGGACTCCTGGTCCTAATGAGGCTGCGAGCTCATCTGTTTTCTTGGAGACTAGAGATAGCCACTGCTTTGTAAAAGAAGAAGAAGAGTTTGGATTTGATATCCAGCTTTATCACTACCCAAAGGAGTCTCAAAGCGGCTAACATTCTCCTTTCCCTTCCTCCCCCACAACAAACACTCTGTGAGGTGAGTGGGGCTGAGAGACTTCAGAGAAGTGTGACTAGCCCAAGGTCACCCAGCAGCTGCATGTGGAGGAGCGGGGAAGCAAACCCGGTTCACCAGATTACGAGTCCTCTGCTCTTAACCACTACACCACACTGGCTCACAAAAAAGTTTTGAGACTTCAAATCCTCTCTCAGCCATGACACTGAGTAGTTTTGGGCACCTCTTTCCTTGGAGGTTGGATGGCCATCTGGCATGCATGCTTTAGCCAAGATTCTTGCATTCCAGGGGCTTGGACTAGATGACCTTTGGATGCTTACCAACTCTAAGATTCTATGATTCTATGGCATGTTATGAACCTCTGCTTAGGCAAGTGAGGGTAAAGTAGTGTAAAGAATTGTAAAGTAGGGTTTTCTGGGTTTTTTTAACTGATAATTGCTCTAGCAACTGCTAGTAATAAATAGGACTTTAATGCAAGCATCACAACCAAAGCACGGGATCCATACTAAGTTGGTTAGCCCTGTGTCGGGAAGTTTTTAATGCCTGATGTTTTATTATGTTTTTATATGTGCTGGAAGAAGCCCAAAGTGGCTGGGGGAAACCAGCCAGATTGGTGGGGTATAATTATTATTATTATTATTATTATTATTATTATTATTATTTGCACTTAGTGTTCAATGAAATCAATGGGACTTACGTATAGCTAACTTGTTGCATTGATTTCAATGGGCTATAATTTAAACCAACTTAGGCTGTTACTGGCAGAGGATGATGGAAGTCGGGAGTCCAAAACCTCTGGAGGGCATCCGGTTGGGGAAGGCTAGCTTGATGCATGAGGAGGGGGCAGAGAAAGCCACCATGACCATGAATCTTGCTGGAAGTGAACCTATGTGACAGGCAATGGCAATTTAAAAGGAAGGTAGGGAATGCTTCTGAGGGTTCAACTCACTGCATGCAGGCACCTAAAGAAGTGCCTATTCCCCCTTGCTCTGGTTGCCCAAACCTTTCTAAAAGCATTTCCCCCCTGCCTATAGGGACCTACCCAAATGACCCTCTGAATTGCAGGCACATTCTTCAGACAGGGAGGGGCAGCAGATGCTTATGAAGCATCAGACTCAGATTTCAATGACTCGAGTAATGAACCAAAAAGCTAGGGATTTCTGCTGGATAAAAATAACAAGCACGCAGAATAACTAGAGAGAGAATTGTGTGTTCCTGCTAAGAAACCATATCTACTTAATATAGAAACATGGTACCATTGTATAATTAGGGGGGACCAAAAGGAGCATTCCTGACATGCCATCTTTTTTAACCAAGAAGAACTTCTAAGTTCTAATTACAAAATAGTATGCTTCTTCATCTGGTTTCCCTATAAATTCTTTCCCAGCTCCTGAAGAGCAACAACAAAAATCATTAGCTTCCCAAAGAGGGAGAGAGTAGAGTGGGTCACAGGGGAGATACGCCATTCCTAGACTGGAAGGAAGCCATTGGGAGTCCCAGGTGAGTGACGTCTGTCCAGCGCTGCGGTCGTCAGAATCTGATGTCCAACCCGCACACCCTCCTTCTCAGCATCCCAGTCCCAGTATCTCAATGGGGAAAGAGACATCTGTGAATCCTCTGGCATAGTTTCAATGTTTTACAGCTGTAATAACCACAAACACAAAGGGGGGGGCAGTGGGTTTCCTCCAGCTTCAAGGTTCCTGGGGTACTTCTATAAAACAGACAAGTATAGTTCTCTGTACTGTATAAAATGCCTTATAATGGGCAGATGTTCAGGGATCTTCTGAAAAATACTAATCTGAGTTGAGCCCTGATATCACCTAACTGGCAAGCATAAAAGCCAATGGTATTGTTGGGTGGTTGAAAACATCTGTGACTGTGTTCAAAGTAATAGAAAATAATACTAAGGAAAGTTTTTAAACAAGGAGTAATGACCGCTCCCCGCTTAAAACGGGGGGCGCCCTTTGCGTGGACGCGCGCAGCCCCTAGATCTGGAGCGGCTCCAACAGCATAGGCTTGGTTTGCCTTCCCTCAGGTGGGATACCTGGAGGTCTCCGCCTACCTCAGTCAGTTGTCCAATCCCACCTGGGGAAGCGTTGCCAAGGAGACCAGGCCAGGTAGGGGAGGGATTACCTGCCCACACAATAGAGGGAGGATCTTACCTGGGAATCCTCACTTGGCTCCAGAGCTTCTCCCACCCTACCCACCCTCAGTTAATGTCTTATTTGCAGGTTAACTTTTCTTCACAGGTTTTGCAGGTTAACTTTTCTTCACATGTATGCGGGCGCTGCTACGTTAAGGTCGCTGTTAAAGGGCCGGAAAGGAATTTCCATGCATTGGCAGGTTTTGCCTTTCCCGTAGCAAAACGTCACAACTTTGGCGGTATCAGGCCTTGGGTGGAATCCTTTAGTCCATCTTCCTCTTTGCGGCGGCAATACCAGGGTTCCCCGTTAAAGGGGTTTCTGAAGGGAGGCTCTGACCGTACGCCGAAAGGTTGTCATTGCTCTCCCCTGCGGCGGCGGCGTAACGGGGGCGGCTATCTCTGCTTGAACATATGTTCTCCAGAGCTGGCCCATCCCCCCCCCACACTGGATAACCCTGATGCTCCCTAGGTCCCCGGCTGGGGACTGGGGAGGAGAACGCCCAATGCCTGAGCCAAGGTCTACCCACATTTGAAATTTAATAAAGTTGTGGCCAATTTAATCCCATAGCACGTTGTCATGAGTCGTTATTCCACATGACGGGGGGACCGCGCGGGATCTGGGGACTCCGCCTGTCCACGCAATTATAAATAGTCTCTATGAGCTGTACTGTGGAATTACAGAACCAAACTGTAGAAGTTGTAGGGCTGGTAGCTAAATGTTATGTAAAAAAGACACACACACCCTTAATGCTGTTGTGCATTTAGAATACATCTGACCACATTGTCAGGAAAGCGCTGTTTAATGTTTGGATAAGATACAAGGATTTATTAGAAAACAAAACCCCAAGGTGGCTGTCACCAATGGAAGCGAAAACCTTGAAAAAGCTCAATATGGAGGTCAAATGGCCGAAATATTGGGAAATTTTGGAACAAGATGGAGATAGACTGAAATTGCAGAGTTTTGAAAAACTAAAAAACAAAGTGCGAGACTGGCTCCATTATTTTCAGATAATGGAGGCATTTAAATTGGACAAGAAAATTGGCTTCCAGGTGGAAAAATCAAAATTAGAAACTGAACTGTTAGAACCCAAAACTAAGAATTTGTCAAGAATGTATAACTTGCTGCTGAAATGGAACACTCAGGATGAAACGGTAAAATCGGCCATGATTAAATGGGCACAAGACGTTGGACACAACATTATGTTCGCTGACTGGGAACAGTTATGGACCACAGGTATGAAATTTACGGCATGTAATGCCTTAAGAGAGAATATTATGAAAATGATATACAGGTGGTACATAACTCCAGTCAAGCTTGCAAAAATCTATCATTTGCCCGATAATAAATGTTGGAAATGTAAAAAAACTGAAGGTACATTTTTTCACCTTTGGTGGACGTGCCCAAAGATTAAGGCTTTCTGGGAAATGATATATAATGAATTAAAAACGGTATTCAAATATACCTTCCCCAAGAAACCAGAGGCCTTTCTCCTGGGCATAGTCGGCCAAATGGTGTTAAAAAAGGATAGAACTTTCTTTATGTATGCAACAACAGCAGCAAGAATACTCATTGCAAAGTATTGGAAGACACAAGAGCTTCCCACACTGGAGGAATGGCAGGTGAAACTGATGGACTATATGGAACTGGCGGAAATGACTGGCAGAATCCGCGACCAGGGAGAAGAGTCGGTGGAGGAAGATTGGAAGAAATTCAAAGACTATCTGCAGAAACATTGCAAAATTAAAGAATGTTAGAGTGATGTTGGATTGAAAACAAGTGGCTTCCAGCTGTACAGGATTTAAAGTTATAGATAGATTAAGATTAAGGATTAGGATTAAAAAAGTTTAAGGAAATGGAAACTTGGTTTTTAAGAGGTAAAATTTTAATGTTATATTATATTAAGATTAAAGATTGGGATTAAAAAAGAGGGAAAGAAATTGCTGGACAAACAATCTGAACTGGAATACAAAAGAGGGAGGTATGAGGAGGTCCAGAAAATAAGTAAACTTAAAAATGGAGATGAAAAGGTGATACTGTTTTTAACTGTTTTTTCTTTTCTTTTTTTGTCTTTTGTTCTTTTTTTCTTTTTTGGATTATGTATGGTGTATCTTTGAATTGTGTATTTCTTTTCTATGTTTTCATGTTTAATCTTTTATTGATGTATTCTTTTTATTGGAAAATTTAATAAATATCATTTAAAAAAAAAATAGAATACATCTGAAGGCAGCCCTGTTTAAGTAAGTTTTTAATGTTTGATGTTTTATTGTGTTTTTACTATTCTGCTGAGAGCCGCCCAAAGTGGCTGGGAAAACCCAGCCAGATGGATGGGGTATAAATAAATTATTATTATTATTATTATTATTATTATTATTATTATTATTACATAGATTCCTAGGTATTTAATACACTCCATACCTTGAAGGCACCACATATAAAGAGTTGCATAAAGCAAATTCTACTTCACTCGCATGAGTCTGAATGACCAATCTTGTATGCAAGTTGCTTTAGCTTCACTAAATTCAATGGGAATTACTTCTATCTTGTGCTCAGGATTGGCTGTAGACTTGCATGTGCACCCCAGGTGTTGGTCTGGTTATGTTTGGGGCACAGAGGGTAAGGCAGAATCAAGGGGGAACGCCCTACATTATTGTGTTCCTCTCAAAGGCTAGGGCATATTCCAGATCTTCCTGCTTAGTTTTAGTCTGAATATTTTCTAGATTAGTGGAAACGTTGTATGTCTCCATCCATGCATACTTAAATGTTAGTTTTTTTTCCACAGCAGCCTCTTTTTCTAACAGTGTTTCTCTTGTTACACAGGATTATTTAAGACAGATAAATTAATTGCATTTGCATCATACCAAATGTGCTTCAAAAACTGATTACATTAAATGACGCCAACTACCACGTTGTCTATCAGCTTTTACTTTTCTATGTCTGTGTGGAGGCGATTAAAAAGCAATGCACCTTTAAAAAAAACAAGGTATGTGACTTTCTTCTATGCCAATGAACATACTATTTAACCATTGTAATTAATGTGCACTTGGCAGCCTGTGACTGATTTCAGAAAAAAGAAAAATACCTCCATTGGTGGGGACGCCTTAACAAGAGACTGTTACACATAAAGTCTCATTTAGATTTCTTAATTTGGGACTAATTGTTGCAGTCACATTAACTGGAGCATTGCCATAAGGCACATAAACAGGTATTTGAAAGACTAAAATTTCAGCATTTGAATATGGAGACATTATACCTGCATAAAAGACAGCACTTATGGAACCTCTTGTAAATTCTGTTTCACAAAAACCTGACAAAATAACAAAATATTTAATTTTAACAATGAAATTCAAAAAATTATCGAGGGATGTTTCAAACATTCAGGCTACCTTCCGCTGTGGCCCACTTTCCTCCCCCCCCCCCCCCACTAACAACTTGTACTAGAATTTTGCACACCCATTTCCTACACATTAACCTATCAGTGGATGATCACTTCCCTGTAGTCTGATCCCACAGCACGGGGCAGTGTGTGCAACTGTCACAAGTCACAACCGTGTATGGTGCCATCATATGAGTATGCCCTGCCAATGGTGACTCTACCACCTGACCAACCCGAATCAACACAAGGAGTACATGCTAGCGAGTCTGAAGGTGTTACCTTTGGCAATACCTCCAGAAAATACCATTTGCAGAGAGACTTTGACTGTGAACCTGCATGTTCAGGTTACTGATAAAATATGGTCTGCATTTAGTTGTTACTGGCTCACCATCAAGCAAGTAGATTTACTGTGGGGTAGATCTGCTCATGAATATACCTGACAGGAAGTGGAACAGCACATACAGGAGGAGGTAGGTAGGGAACCCACACCATGTCCTTAAAAGTAGTCTAATAAGGATGCTCTTGTTAATAGAATAATGAGCAGAAAGTAAAGGGGAGTCTAAACTCGTAATGCAATCACTGCTTGTAGTTTGAAAAGGAACTAAAAGCTGTACCTTTTCCTTACATGGTGCCACTGTTCCTTGGGCACTTTTCAAACAACCTGCAACTCAAAATTTTAGTTTTGCATACATAAAAGTTAACCCAAATAGCGGTGTTGCTGTATGCTTTGGATTCCTAAATAGGGAATAAATCACAAGTCAAGAAAAGAATCTTAAAACTGAAGTTAAGATGTCATCACAGAAATTGCATTGTTAACACAATGTCATAAGATGGCTGAAATGCTTGGTTGATTGCCTTTTTTGGTATTTCAGAACGTATCATAATTTTAAATGTTCTCGCACAGATATATTTCTCAGAAAACTTATCAACAATAGATCTCTTAAAAAGCACTGTAGTGAAAATTAAGAGAGTGTTGATGATCTGGATAAAAATGGCACAGTGTTTCTGCTCAAGTTTCAAACAGAAAACATTGGAATGGAAAGAAAGCAACGGGCCTGCCAACAATCCTGCAATCTACAGAATGTTCCTCCTTTCATAACACATTAAATCTGCAGAACAACTCAACCTCCAAAAATCAACCCGGGGCAGGGCGAGGATGCTCACCTCATTTTCACACAATACAATTGCACGTCATCTATAAAGTTTGTGGTCCAAAAGTCTATTATGTGCAAACCTGCACTTTTTAACCATTTTAGGAAGAGACATCACCTTGCCGACAAAGGTCTGTATAGTTAAAGCTATGGTTTTCCCAGTAGTGATGAATGGAAGTGAGAGCTGGACCATAAAGAAGGCTGATCGCCGAAGAATTGATGCTTTTGAATTATTGTGCTGGAGGAGACTCTTGAGAGTCCCATGGACTGCAAGAAGAACAAACCTATCCATTCTGAAGGAAATCAGCCCTGAGTGCTCACTGGAAGGACAGATCGTGAAGCTGAGGCTCCAATACTTTGGCCACCTCATGAGAAGAGAAGACTCCCTGGAAAAGACCCTGATGTTGGGAAAGATGGAGGGCACAAGGAGAAGGGGATGACAGAGGACGAGAGGGTTGGACAGTGTTCTGGAAGCTACCAGCATGAGTTTGACCAAACTGCGGAAGGCAGTGGAAGACAGGAGTGCCTGGCGTGCTCTGGTCTATGGGGTCACAAAGAGTCGGACACGACTAAATGACTAAACAACAACAACAACAACAAAGGAAGAGCCTGACGGATCAGGTCAATGGCTCCTCAAACCCAGCATCCTGTTGTCATAATGGCCAACAGATGCCCATGGAAGCCCAGCAAACAGGACCCAAACACAACCACATTCTACCGCCTATGATTCGGAGCCATTTGGAGGCTTTCTGCCTCTGATAGTGGATGCAGAACATAGTCAGTGTGGCTAGTACCCACAGAGAGCCTTAACATCCATGAATTTGCCTAATCCTCTTTTAAAGCCATCAGAGTTGGTGGTCATCACTTCCACTTGTAGTTGTAACTATGCAGTGTGTGTGGAGCAGCACTTCCTTTTCTCCCAACCCCGCCTCACCTGCCAGTGAAATTCATAATTCTAGAACCAGAATTATCCAACAAAGATGCATGGCAAGAGATTGAGGACAGGCAAAAAGGAAGTACTTTGTTTGGAATTTGTTACAAATTTAGTGGTGATCAGCTGATCAGCTATGTAGACAGCTTATATATATAAGTTTAAGTTTTTCCCTATTTCAAAGGGATCAGATAAATCGGCATTTGGCTGACCACTGTGGACAGGGCCAGATTTAGGTTTGATGAGGCCCTAAGCTACTGAAGGTAATGGGACCCTTTATATGTCCAGCTGTCCTTTGTCAACAACAAATTGCCTCTGTTTTTTGTGTTGAATATATGCTATATGGAAATGAGCAAGCCAGTGATATTTTAGGGAGCAGGCTAGCAGGTGGGGCCCATTACTTGTTAGAACTCCTGCTCCATTATTGCAGTCATGGGATTTTTGTCTATCACATAACAGTATATGTTTTGACTCCACAGAGTGGGATGTGACGGAGACAGGATGTTTGTGTTACTGTGTTCCCTGAAGTGGGATTATTGTCCTTTGTTCTTTTTCTCTTTGCTGTCTGATGCTAGAGAGAGAGGGAGCCATGTTGCAGTGCTCCGTGTGTGTTTATATGTAAATAAAAGTAGATTAGCCAAAATGCTGAGTTGCTGAGGTCTGTCACGCATGATGCGGTGTCGGTTGGCATCGGTCGCTGTGATGTTCGGGCTGAAGAAAGCTTTTGAAGCTCCCGAACAATCGACCAGGAGGGAGAGAACATGCCATTCAGGTATGTGTCTCTGCCAGGGTCCTACTCAAGTGTAGGCTGAACTCCTGACATTACGTACATCATAGGAGCCTACACAGAACACTGTTGCTGTATGTAGGTTTTATTTTATTTGCTTTTTATCTTATATTTTGGAAATGTACATCCAGTTGTTTTCCCCCCCTTTAATCTTTTGGGGGGGCCCCAAGAGAGTGGGGCCCTAAGCTATAGCTTGTTTTGCTTATACGTAAATCCGGCAGTGACTGTGGATAACAGGATGTTGGGTAAGATGTTCTTCTGATCAAGCTGGGCCTGGATTTTTCTTTTTAAAGTCATAAATGGTTTAGCAATAGCGTGCTCTTTGAAGTAAAGCACCTAATCTTCAGAAGACATAACCTTTACAAAAATTCTGGCCACGTGTAATTTTATTTTCTATTGTGGAAAGAGGAAACTAGCTACGGTAACCTTTGCACATCATTTTTTGCTGTGATGTTTGGTATCTGCCTTTGCCAAGATATAAATCACTTTTGTTCCTGGTGTCAAGAAATTTAGTACACTAAATTCATCATAAGAACCTTAAGAAGAGGAAATAGGGGGAACTCCCCATTACGGAAAGAAAAGCGCAGATGCTGTGCTTGATGAAATAAAGCCTGATTCCTCCGTACCTGGTCCTCATTTCCAGTTTTCATCACTTACCTGTGAAAAATGGCAGCAGTAAAATTTAAACTGTTGCCGAAATACAGACAACATTGCACAAGCATTCCTAATGCTCTTTGTTGATCTAGCACAACAAAGGAAAACAAAATACCCTTTCTTCTTTTTTGAACTATATTTCAGCATTGCTTCAGGTTCAGTATATAATATAGGTAAAGGGACCCTTGGCCATTAGGTCCAGTCGTGGCCGACTCTGGGGTTGTGGCGCTCATCTCGCTTTATTGGCGAGGGAGCTTCTGGGTCATGTGGCCAGCATGACTAAGCCGCTTCTGGCGAACCAGAGCAGCGCACGGAAACGCCATTTACCTTCCCGCTGGAGCGGTAGAAAACTTCACTGCAGAAAACATTGGAGAAATGCCAGCACAGTCATGACAGATGTGTAAACTCTGAAGCACAGTTACTTCTACCCACCTTGCGCAGTCCAAATCAAGAAACAGAAAGTGATGTCCTCATAGTTTGGATGAAGAAATGTGTTAACATTTCAATGGACTAAGATGAACCTAGATTTGATTTTCCCTTTGTCATCCTAGCAGATAAAGCTAATCTCAGAAAAGTGTTTTTCATGGTTTATACTCAAATGAGCAAATTATGCTATTAATACAACCACACTAAGCAGATGTGTTTTAAATGCTCACAGGACAGGCTTGTGAATAGCAACTTGTCTGGTCCCCTCTGGTAAATAAGAATCCCAGCTAGGTGATCATTCAGGGAAGCCGCTAGAAATTATCCATTATCATTTGAAACCATTTTCATTTATAAACCTTCACCATCAATGACCATTAAATCCTTTTTTCAACCTATCAGCATGCATAGCAATGTTTTCTTGCTGTGAAGGCACAAATCCCTTTAGAAAATATATTGTGAACCTTTCAAATGGATACTATTTAGCTTCAAATGGCTTTACAGAACAAACAATTTTTTTGAGAGAAATATCAGCCAAGCTTTCTACCTCTTTTATGTCATTTGGGGTTGAGTTTTGTTACTTTACCTTTAATAGGCAGTGTCAATTAGTTTTCTTGACAATGATGACTACTCCTTGCTATCAACCTCTTAATAGCATACTAGCCAATATCCAGTGTGAGCTTCCTCAGAGCAAATTGACTGTTGCTTAATGGCAAGTTTATTTATTTCCTACTTTGCTAAGCAAAAGTATTTTGGGGTTGGCAGTCTTGGCTAACTTATTTGCTGGGCTGCAATTTCAGTCCCACATACCTCAACAGTATTTCAAAACTGACACGAGGAGAATACATTTTGACCCACTGTGGACTGAAATTACCCCTCTCTTTTGCCTTAAGGTGTCTTACATAGCATAGTTACCATTCTTTACTAACTACTTGTGTAACCCTGTCCCCTCAACCTCCTTTTTCATTTCCAGTGGATTTTCAGCGGGTTCCTACTTTGCTAAGCTTACCGATAAAATGTAGTGTAGTCCACAGTTGAGTGGCACGTCTGAAAATCCCATGCTTTGAGTTTCTGGCATTCCCGATGGGCGCGGAGTTTTACTCTCACTGTTCCTTGGCACAGTTCTGGAAACTGTTTCTTTGGAGGGCGAGTACAGAATTCATTCGACTCCACACGCCACGACTCGGCAAAGTCATCCACATCAAACTTGAAATTCCCGTCGCCTCCGATCAGGTCGTCTCTCTTGTGTCCATTGTAGTTGCCACATAGGCCACAGAGCCTGCCCTTAAGATGTGGTGGAGCCATGACTTCCACAAAGCTGTCTCCATCCCAAGAGATTTCCAGGCCTAAAAAAGAAAGCAAGAAGGAAAGAAGCTAACCTGTATCAGTGTATATACAGCATGTGAACATGTGCAGCTACCTTATATATTGAACTGGAACATTGGTCTATCAAGCCTAGCACTGGCTACTCTGGAGAGCACCAGTTTGGAGGATTTCTAGTCTGAGATCTTTTACATTGGGAATGACAGGGCCTGAAACTGGGACCTAATGCCTTCAAAGCATATGTTCTGCCATGGAGTTATGTCTCCTCCTACACACACCACAGGTAAAGGTAAAGGGACCCCTGACCATTAGGTCCAGTCATGACCGACTCTGGGGTTGTGGCGCTCATCTCGCTTTATTGGCTGAGGGAGCCGGCGTACAGCTTCTGGGTCATTTGGCCAGCATGACTAAGCCGCTTCTGGCGAACCAGAGCAGTGCACAGAAACGCCTTTTTCCTTCCTGCCGGAGCGGTACCTATTTATCTACTTGCAATTTGACGTGCTTTCAAACTGCTAGGTTGGCAGGAGCAGGGACTGAGCAACGGGAGCTCACCCTGTCACAGGGATTCGAACCGCCGACCTTCTGATCGGCAAGTCCTAGGCTCTGTGCCACAATGCCACCCGCATCCCGGACAGAACATACATATGCATAAATCTGTGTAAAACTGGCTCAGAAGGGAAATAAGCTAGTTTTTCAAAAAAGATCTGGTAAACACCTGTGCCCAACACCTTGAATAGCCAATATTTCACAGTGCTTTTCTTAACATATGAACTCAAAATGGCTTGAACGTGCCAACATGTTTTATACTGAGGCAGACTTTGGATCTATCTATCCCAGTATTGCAACATCCCAGTCTAAGCATGCATGCTCTTGTGCAGCCACTAATATCAGGAGCAAAGTATTAGACGTGGAATTCACTGTGAGGAATATGAGCCCTTTTAGTTAAAGGGGAAATTATCTGGATAGTAATATGCTTCAATTACACACTACTGAGTGAACCATTACACGCCATGTTTGCCCAGTCTCTGCCAAAACCAAGACAATGATGCTTGCTGTAGTTTACTGAGCTGAGAGAAGAGACAATCGGAATAACAAGAGAATCACATTTTAGTCAATTTAAAGCATCCAGAATGGCTCTCAGGAATTCAGTGGAATTTCATAACTCAGCTGGCAGTGAAGAGAGACGCTCAAGATGCTTTTAATTAGAGCTTATGAATAATGCTCCTCTTGTGAGCATTCCACAGACAGCCACATACATTCTTCCCCCCCATCTTGCGACTCTGATGAGCAAGCCCAGAGCTGAGGCTTTATTTTGTAGGGGACAAAGAAGCAGGTGTATGAGTTTTTGGCTCAGCAGGATATGCTGTGATAGCCTTTAAATGCTTTCTAGATGTTGACTATGCCTCACGTCAATCCTTTGGTTAAAGGAGGCAATATAAATGATCAACCGTGGAAGGCCAAGGTATGGGAAGCAGGATATCTGCCATGATGTTGTTGTTGTTTAGTCGTGTCCGACTCTTCATGACCCCTTGGACCAGAGCACGCCAGGCTTCCACTGCCTCCCACAGTTTGGTCAAACTCATGTTGGTAGCTTCAAGAACACTATCCAACCATCTCGTCCTCTGTCATTCCCTTCTCCTTGTGCCCTTAATTTTTCCCAACATCAGGGTCATTTCCAGGGAGTCTTCTCTTCTCATGACGTGGCCAAAGTATTGGAGTCTCAGCTTCAGGATCTGTCCTTCCAGTGAGCACTCAGGGCTGATTTCCTTCAGAATGGATAGGTTTAATCTTCTTGCAGTCCATGGGACACTCAAGAGCCTCCTCCAGCACCCTAATTCAAAAGCATCAATTCTTCGGCGATCAGCCTTCTTTATGGTCCAGCTCTCACTTCCATTCATCACTACTGGGAAAACCATAGCTTTAACTATATGGACCTTTGTTGGCAAGGTGATGTCTCTGCTATACATCTTTTTTTAATCTTCCATACTTCTTTTAAAAAAGCACATAGAGAAGTGCAGGTGGCATAATTTATGGGGGAGAGGAAAGAGGTGGTGTTTAACCATTTCCCCACCTGCCACTTACACCCCCCGCCATATCATATTCTGCCAGGATTCCTAGATACGTTTGCTGCTGCTGTGAGAAGGCTTGTAGGTCAGTGGTCAAGCATTGCTTTGCATGCAAAAGCTCCCAGGTTCAATTCCTGGCATCTCCAGGTAAGGATGGGAGAGACAACCTGACTGGAACCCTGAAAAGTCACTGCCATTCAGTATAGACATTACAGAGCAAGATGCACCAATGGTCAGACACAGTATAAGGCAGCTTCCTATGTTCCGCGGGTGGAGCTGTGGTTTAAACCACAGAGCCTAGGACTTGCCGATCAGAAGGTTGGTGGTTCGAATCCCCGCAACAGGGTGAGCTCCCGTTGCTCGGTCCCAGCTCCTGCCAACCTAGCAGTTCGAAAGCACTTCAAAGCGCAAGTAGATAAATAGGTACCGTTCTGGCAGGAAGGTAAACGGCATTTCCTTGCGCTGCTCTGGTTCGCCAGAAGCGGCTTAGCCATGCTGGCCACATGAACCGGAAGCTGTATGCCAGCTCCCTCGGCCAATAAAGCGAGATGAGTGCCGCAACCCCAGAGTCAGCCACAACTGGACCTAATGGTCAGGGGTCCCTTTACCTTTTTATATTCCTAAGAGTGGCTGGGGGGAAGGAAGGAGAGGAAGGGATGAACAGGGGGTGGTTATCTATCTATCTATCTATCTATCTATCTATCTATCATCTATCTATCTATCTATCTATCTATCATCTATCTATCTATCTATCATCATCATCTATTTATTTTTTAAATACCCCCCACTTTTTGTCAAGGAATTCAAAGCTGCTTTTGATTAAGTCAATCCTGCCTCCTAGATCATGCGGAAAGTTGCCGCCTTAGTCTGGCAAGTAGGCACCATCTATTGGAAAGAAGCAGGCCAGGGTATTTATAATCATAAAGTTGGAAGGAGCCCTGGAGATCAGCCTCCTTCCTTATGAGTAGATCTGCCCCCAAGCAGGCACTTCAGGCTGCTTTTTGAAAAAGGAGGCTGGGATTGTTGTTCATGAACAGATGTTCTTTCTAACCATCTGGTGGGTGGAAAGTTGGCCCATCAAATTCAAATTCATTTCAATTTGACACCCATAGATTAAACTTTGAAAAATAAAAATAAAACTTATTTAATAAAACATAGTCAAGCATCTTGAAATTTTAGGATTCAGCAACCTCAGATTTCTGTGCCGTCCCATTTACCTGTTTTCTTTAAAGTAGCTACCAGATGTTCTCCATTTCCCAATTAAATCATGCTTCAGGTTTGAATGATGCAAGATGCACATGCACACAAAAGACTGAATCCAGTTGCAAAAGCAATTCATTTGGGCAGAAAGCAAACCCAGACAGATGTTACGCAAGAACACCACACTTCAGGGAGGCACAGAGAACAGCTTTCCTTGCACACTTGGGGTTCAATATCACACCAGTTTTTGGTTCAGCAAGCAACTTTCATGCAGGCCATGTTGGCTGGTGGGTTTGCTAAAGCCTTCTGGATTTGTTTTGTTTTACTGAGTTTGTTTGGGTTGGACATGTTTTACTGAACTCATTCCCTACTCTACAAGCCCCTCTGGCACAGTGCTTGCTTATTTCTGATCTCTGCTTTTGCCGTAACTACAGCTGAGATCAGTTGTTTTCAAACTGTGTCCTGGGGCTGCTTCAGAAGCGTTTTGGGGCTGTGATGATAATCCTAAGGTTCACTTGGCAAAGTTACTGTCATTTTATAAGAACCAAACTCCACAATGGCAAAGCAGTCAATTCTGTGTTTATTGCCCACGTCCATTAACTAGGCAACCAATACCCTGGAATCCCCAGTTTAAACACCTGTAAGCCTTGACACCAGGTGGAGGAGCATCAAGTAGAAATTTTCTGATAATTCAATTTCATTTGATGGGGATGGGAAAGAGAAACCTTTGTGTTGGCAAAAGCTTCCCTGGTTCATTTTACACAAACTTTGCCTGTGTATTGTAGCATTGTAAGACATGGATTGGTTCATCAGAGGTGGATAGACACTTTTGTCAGATTCTGATATAGTTTATTCTTTTTAAAAAGGTGAGCCCAGGAAATTATCTGAGAATTTTTCCTGAGGCATGCATGAAGAGCACAGCTTCATTCTTATGCTGATTCTGATGTTTTATATAAGGATGGAAGATTTTTTTTTCCCAAGTCTGCATTTTAAAGCCAACCAACCTAATTTGCTGGTCTGAATTATATGTGATTTGGAATACAGTAATCTATTGGATTTTGCATTTCTCTGAATTATATGATACTATCAGTTTTTGAAAACACACACACAAATGATTATTTTACAGAAAAAACGTGCAAAAATGCTTGTTTTAGGGGGAATGCACTGAAAAGTACAAATTTGTATTTTGGGGGAAGAATGCATGGAAAATGCATACTTTAGGGATCAATGTGTCCAATTTAAATATGATTTTTTGTGCGTGGGTGAATTCCCCTCTCCACAAAAAATATCCAGAACAGGGACAGAGTAGACCTAAAACTGATCACATTCAAAACTGGCATGGAAGGGAAATGGGGAGATCCTCTTGCTTTTGGTTTAAATTGTTTATTATTATTTTACTGTAACTGCCTTGGGTGTTGCTTCTATACTGAAAGAATGGGATACAACTCTAATGTAACGTAATGTAAATACCACCAAAGCTTAAAGAGCCAAAACAAAACAAAAGCATCCATATGCTACATGTCACACTTGTGTTACTACTTGAGAACCAGGGCACTCATGTAGCCCCACCTGCTTTGGTTGTCACTTTCAAGAGGTAGCCTTCCAAGTCGATGTGAAAGTGTGGCGTGTCGTAAGGTAGGGATATCCGTGTCCCGTTCCACTTCACTGTGAGGTGCTGGTGGAGGCTGATGGTACTGCTGCCCAGCACAAGGTCTACAGATTTTGTCCAGGAGAAAGAGCGAGTCCGTCGGGCATCGTTCTTCACCAGCACCTGGAAGGGCGGGGTAGAGGAGGAGCAGTCTTTCGTCAAAACGTACTGACATGTTCCCTGAAAGTTAAATGTCCGTCCGTCAAAAGTGTTGTAGTGGGGGTCTCCAAATACAGTGCAAACTCCAGGCTCTGTAGGTGAGTGAGAAACAAAAGCACCATCAAGACCAAATGTTATGCTGGGAAAAGCAGGTATTAAATGAATGCAAATGGCCTTCCAACATTTTGGGCCACTTCATAAACAATGTGACTGAGGCATATATCTAAAAAACGTGTGTGTTTGTGTGTGAATGAGACAAACACTTGAAAGAAGACATGAAAACCATGCATTTTCTTTCAAGGGTACACTCAATGAGAAACCAAGCACTGCTGTCATGAAATGGCCCTTAAGTCCTGGAATGATATAGATTATCAGCACCCACTATAGGATCCCCAGTATACTGTTGCAGCTGTAGAAAATGGTAAGTGGAGGTAGAATCCATGAATTGTATATTGCAGCTCTGGCAATATATAGGATTGTTTGGAGGGGGGGGGTTTCTCCCTCTTTCATAATCCTAGAATTTGAGTGTCATCCAATGAATGGTAGAAGATTGAGGACTGACAACTAACACTATATACAGCATTCCATGTGTAGTTGGTTTCATCACAAAGGTAAAGGAGAAGTTCTGCATTGCCACATAATAAAGGAAAAGGCAACTGGTGCTGTGCAATCTGGATTAAACATTGCTATTCTTTGGAAGAGAAGAAATTCAAGGCAATGGAATCTATTAACGCCACAGCCCAACACAGAATTAAGTGCATTTGAAGATCCCACTGAAATAGATGGACTTTTAAGCATGCTTAATTCTGTACTGGATTGTAGCCTAGACTCTCAAATAATTACTGCCAGAACTGCTTTAAAAAAACAAAAACAATTTATGATGTCCCAAATGAACTGATTGTATGAATTGGAGCGGTGAAGAAATAATTCATAGGAAAATCCTGGCTTTCGTTTGTCTGATACATTTAACACCAATGAATCACCATAATCAAATTACAAGTGACAGTCTCAAAATCAGAAAAATGGAAGCAATTGAATCGAACTGCTAAAAATTCAATAAGAAAAATCAGCAGAAGCAGCACTGAAACCTCAACTCTTCTCAGTCTTTATTACTATACACTCGTACCTCAGAGGTTGAACAGGATCCATTCCGGAAATCCGTTTGACTTCCAAAATGTTTGGAAACCAAGGCGCGGATTCAAACTGGTTTCCAATTGCGCAGGTGCACTGGAAACAATAGCGGAAGCTGCGCAGGACGTTTGGCTTCCAAAACAAAACACGTTCAAAAACCGGAACACCCGATTCCAGTTTCTGATTGTTCGGGAGCCAGAATGTTGGACTCCCAAGTTGTTCTGGAGCCGAGGTACGACTGTATAGTCCTTTAGTATGGTTTCTGAGGGCGCCTGCCCTCCTCCTCCTGATGTTGTTCTTCTGAGGGTTTCCTCTGGTCCTCTAGCTGGCCACACATTGAGTCCATCTGTCCTAGACATGAAGTGGGCTGAATTACCTCACACCTCACTGTGTGGCGTCCTGTCCTGTGGACCTTTACAGCAAAAGGAAACTTAGTGTGACCAAACTTTCATCAGGAGACGGATGGACATAGGAATTGGGAAGAAGCAGTGGAAATGATGATTAGGTCCCAATTTTTCTGGGTACAGCCTCTGGGGTCAGGAGGTCTTTCCCTTCATCCCTGGTGTGAAATGTCTGTCTCCAGTTACTCAGTGCTGAGGGAGCTTAAGCACTTTTAAGTCTCACTGATTTGAAAGAGAGAGTGAATCACATGCTTAATTCTCTCCCCTTCAGATGAATGTGACTTTAAAATGCATGTGTTCGGTTTTGCTGTCAAAATATCCTCTGTGCTCCATTGACTTCACTAAATGAATACCCTTTTCCAGATTTACAAGGCATGGGGCCAAGCTGTATACCAACATATGCACTGACATGCAGTAAACGGCCATTTACTTCACATTCCCAGCACTCACAATCCCAAATCAAGATCATACAGTTTACTTGTCCCTGGACTTGGCAGTCTCAGTTTAGGAGCTCATGATGCGGTGAGTTGATACTCTAAATTACTTAGCTATTGGAAAGAGTTCTGAAGGATTCTTGGACTGTTTTCATGGTATCTAATAACCCACATGCCACAACAGAAAAGAAAGAAATGACCATATTAGGAGGATGGCCCTCTTGCATGCGGGGAGAACTGGAATTCAAAACTCTCGCACAATCTGTGCAAAAGGCAGCGGAGGAAAGACGAGCCAGAACACCAGAAGAGTCAAGTTAATTCCAAAGTGTCCAGATGTAACAGACTCTTGAGGCAGGGCTTGCAGCTAATTTACAGCAGCCAAGGAAAATATTATATAAACCATAACTAAGAGGGATTTGGATGCTTTCTGAGTAAAACTATGACATTAAAAAACAGAATGGAGAGTAATTTGTTCACACATACATAACTCAACGGGACTTGGCTTTTCAAAAACCAAAAATGAAACACAGGAGACAGTTGGCCAAAATGTGAATTAGGCTTCAGCATCAAAGCAAGCTGCAGATCCTTAAATCAAATGGGGGCAAACATTAATTTGAAAGCTAGGAATATCACAGGCAGAATGAAGCTGAATTGCATTCCTCCTGGTGTACAAAAACAACAACCCAGCAACACATGTGTCTCAACACATTTATACAGGGTGGCTCAAAAGTAGGTATACAGTTGAATCAATGAAATTAATTACAACAGATTCTATGAGTACACTTAACTGACACAAAACATAGTTGGAAAGAATAGTGGAGTCAGATAAAAGGATTACTTTTCTTTACTGATATTGTGAATGAGGATTGCGAACTTGAGTCAAGAACTTTTGGGATAGCTTCACACTCGGTGCACATGCCCTGCCAGGAATAACTTATACAGTTGTGCAAGTATCTTTAAAGATCCATGTATGCATGTCTGGAATGGCCAAGACCCCCAGGAACATGTATCCGGAATTTAAAGATGCATATATGTTTCGCTCATCTGCAATTTACATGTTTATTGGGTGAAGATTTATTTCAATTGGGGTTTAGGCCCAGTTTTGGCACAGATACTGCTCTGGTTGCCCTGTGTAATGACTTCTGTTGGGAGAGAGGCAAGGGAAACGTGTCCCTCTTAATTCTCCTTGTGAGGCACAAGGTTATCAGAGGTATTTGCTGCTAGACCACTAAAACTTTGATTTGTCAACAAGAACACCACAAAACAATTGGATGGAAAAGAAAAATGAATAATAATAACTAATAATAATAATAATCAAAGATAGTATTTTTTTTGTTTCTGGTGGGATCCACTGGCTGTAGTTGTTAGTTGTGTGCCATAGGTCAAGGGACCCATTTTCTTTAGGATCTGTTTTGTTTAGGATCCAACTTCCTATTCACCCACCTTGCCTGAGGGCATAACCTGCACAAAACATTATATCTCCTTGTTGTTATTCCAAGTGCTACTGCCCCGAACCACAAGGCTTCTACAGAGAGAGGCAACCCACCATTCTGGAAAGGCCATTTTATTTTGGCACCTTGTCAGGCCTTGCTGACTTCCAAGAATAAGGAGAAGGAGAGTCTTCATCATTCCGTTAGATAAAAAGTCAGTGGTAAAGTCGGCTATTGTGTTTTGAACCCTCCCACTGTCACTGGAAAAGCTTGTAGCGATTTCAGTGGGCATCAGTACAGAAACACAAGGCGGTCCATTTTATTTCCCAACGCCTCAGATGAGTCACTTTCCCACAGCTACAAGTATAATTTGTTCCTAATGAAGCGACTGCACCACTTGGCATATCTCTGCTGTTATTTTACAATGATGTGCCCACTGCTTGGTGGTAAAGGCACATTGCCTCTGGTTTCTCACATGCTCAGGGCTCTTGTTTATATAATACACCAGGGAGCATCATGCAACAATTTAAGTTAATTGTTTTTAATTCAACCAAAATTACATACCAGCGAGATTTAAAACATAGTTCTTTCAAAATTCAGTTAAAATATTTCAGAAAGAGCAACTCCTATACTCAGTGTTTAATCCCACTGACTTTCCATCTATAAATATTTTCATTATAGCCCAGGAAAACTACAAGCTGCATTAAATTATGTGGAAAATCATTCAGTGGAGTTTCTCTCATTATCATTCTGGTATTTTGCAACGATAAATTGCACTGTACACTGTTTAAATCTATGTCCAATTAATGGACTAGCTGTGATTGAAAGGATAGTCCGGGTGAATATTTTTAGAAATATTCACCTGCAGTGATTCAAGCCACTGTCAATCATAACCTGTTTCCAAGGTGGTGTCCAAGGAATTCTTCCCTTTTCGATGTTTATGGGCTGTTCCCTTTTCCTTTTCTCTTTTGTATATTCTTCTGTACTCCAACATATTTCCCATACACCATATTTTGCTTTTACCAGCCTTTAAATTGTACCTCCGTGCTGCCTTATAAATCACGCTGGAGAGACTTAGCATTTAGCACTTGCTTTCTTTGGAGAAAGTAGACCATTGCCCTTTCCAATAATATACATTCACACCTTCGCAAATGAACCTGGGTCTCTCTCGTTTCCCCAGGAATATTTTGAAACATCAAACCCCAATCCAAGAAGTTAGAGTTATTGACTCCTAGTTCCAGACTATTTCTTCAGCGTCTGGGCTTGTTGTCAAGGGTTGTCTTTTGTGAGAAAGCAGACTACTTGCTAATCATCTGGCTACGGTAGCTGTGAAACCAAGGAACTGGTGTTAACTTCTGGCTCAATAGGCTAGGCAAGAATCTCCCAATAATGGCGAATGGACTAGGCCAGGAGTTACACTCAAGATAGCAGTTGTGTGCGAAGAGTTCAAAAACTCGTTGAAAAAATGTGAAGAATGAACTTACTCACTTTCAGTGCAAATGGGACAGCATCCTTTTCGGTTGAGGATCTTTCCCTAAATGGGATAAATATAAACAATATTTAATGGTGGGGGGAACACATTTGGAGCAATGGTTACCTTTTGAAAGTATAGAAAAATGT